TTTCAATTATGTCCCCATTACTAAGATCACAGTGAACAAGAAGAACATATCTTCTCTGGTAGGTGCAGTATGTTATCTATTTGTTGTACTTTGGCAGGTTGTAACCTTCACTAACTGTCAAACTGTATACTGAAATATGGAATGACAACCAAAAGACGACAGCTTAATCAGAAAACTACACAATTTATGATTCAAGAAGAAATTGTTAAGAAAAGGCAATCTGCACATTGAAAACAACCAAATAAGCAGATTGGCACAGCACACCAACCAATGCCACTGATCAGCCGCCTACTGAATATGCATGAGTATCTCACCAAATCAGAAAAGGACTCCTGTTTGGCCAAGGGGGCAGGAGTTTTCCTTTGTCTCCGTGGTTGGTGACCTCTGCCGTGGATAATGATTTCCCGTTGTTTGACCTGCAGCATCAAATGTGTACCATACCACCATGATTATGTTTAACTGATCATCTTGCCTGATTGAATCCATCTATATCATTAATAATCTACTCAAGTATGCCAGTCTTATTCTTTCTTTCTACTCGACTTTACTGCTAATGGTACTAATCCAACCAGCAGAACTGGAATTCTGCACTGGCTGCTGAAGATGGGAAAGGAGCACTTATGGGAATGTCTCAAGTGATATTATGTCGGTTTTTAGCTCTTTTAGTACCAAATGGTTTTTCATGAGAACCCCATATGTATAAATAACCAATAAGACATACTATGAGCATATTACTTTTAAAGAAGCTAAATACTGTGGATGCCAGATTTTCTTAGTAGGCTCTAGTCAAATGTAACAAATAGGAGAACATACTAGATGTTGGGTGAGATGTACAGAAGACCAAATCACATATCATACATTATTTGGGACTGACTAAATTAACTCAAATTAGCTGTGTGCTAGAGAACAAATGTCATATTTAGTGTTTGCATGATAGGTAGTAGCGTATACCAAACCTGACATCCCATATTTTGCCAATGGCCTCGAGGGGAGCAGCACATTAAAGAGGATACTAGCCTTATCCTAGGAAAAGGAAATGCAACCTGAAAATTTGATGCTATGACAGGGCAGACCAGGCCCTTAGCCTCTGCTAAGAGCTGGTCTAGGAGGGAAGCTCTGACAGGCAGACAGATAGAGCACTGTTCTTCTGATCCAGCAGCCTCTGCAGCCTGCTTTATTCCAAACATACTGGTGTTACCTTTCCTTCTGAGTAAACAAGGCAGGTCGAAATAGAGATCATGATGCATGGGCAACATATGGTCACTAAAATACTGTCCAGGCTTTGTGCTATGGAGAGGACGAACTTCATCCATGTGCTGTGAGTCCGTGCCTCCTCATAGCGCAATATAACACTATCGTCTGGAAAGATGGAAAGGTGCCAATCATCGCATGAAAGGTCACCCTCAGCAATATCAATCACGCTTAAGAATGCAGGCAATGGCACCATATTAAAGAAATCACAAGTTACAAAATGTCATAAGCCGTTTCTGAGAAAATCCTGTTAGTGTCAACAATGAGCTATGTAGTTGGAGACTACTTTTAAAAAAAAGTAAAGATCCCTTTTCACGATTTAGGCGCATCGGGTATATGGGAAGAGTGTCCCATATTTTTTTACAGACCAATCGGCACTAGATGGGTAATGTGGTCAGCATTACGCCGGCCGTCTTTACTTCCCCAGGACAGCCATCCTGGTACCCATTTTAGGCTGGGTCGACCTGCGACGCCCCATACCAGGATAAAAATCCATGCAGCCAGCAGTGGGTTTCGATCGCGTTACGTTGGATTACGAGTTGGACTAGCAACGCCTAAGCCACGGACGCAGCGGAGACTACTTACCTTGACAGATATTTAACATATTTAAAGTGTCAGTGTTGACAGAAGAATTGGTGGTGGACACAAAAATGGCTTCATAATTGTAAATAAAACTGTAACAGCTGATGACTTCTTGTTTATAATCAAATCACTGGTGAGAGCATCAATTCGAGGATGCAGTTACTAATGTAACTTTATGATTTTTCAAAGAATATGTTCCATAAATGTTCCCATTGATGGCTGTTTGGACACTGACAAAATCATGCACTGAAAAAAGGAACTTTCTCTAAGGTAATGATGTGTAAATCAATCAGATACCTGGGAGACTGTCATTGACACTAGAGAATTTATGCTCTGTTTGATGCTCTCAGCAAGTGGTCACCCATTGTTTTGCAGAGACAGACACAGCGAGGTGGGTTAAAGTGAAGGTACAATGAAGCTAGGCAGATTTTCTAATACTGACTTAGGGCTTCAAGGTCAACCCAGGGCTCCAAAGTCAACTCAGGGCTCAAAAGTCAACTAAGGACTCTGAAGTCAACTCAGGGCTCCAAAGCTAACTCAGGGCTCCAAAGTCAACTCAGGGCTCCAAAGTCAACTCAGGGCTCCAAAATCAACTCAGGGCTCAAAAGTCAACTAGGACTCTGAAGTCAACTCAGGGTTCTGAAGTCAACCCAGCCAAAAATGAGTACTAGTAAATGCCGTAGGAAGTAAAGACTGCCAACACGATCTTTACATCGCCCATCTGGTCTTAAAAAATATGAGTCTAACATCATATGCCTCACATGCCCATGGCGTTGAAAGGATCCTGTATTACTGACAATAAAGATGATCTTCTTACCTTCAATTATATATTTTTTTTAAACAAGTGCCATATGAAAGATGAGTGCTTGAAAGGGCAGAATGTTAAAACAGGCCTACGTGACCAGTTTGTAAGCCTTTGGAAATAATGTTTGTTTGTTCTTTCAGCTGATATTAATTCATTTTTATATTAAAACAAATCTTTATTTGCTACATGTGTTGTGGTACAAATAAAGGAGCGAGCAGATAGGCTTGCAGGTAAGGCTACACTGGATGAGCCTGGAACCTTGCTGATACACTGAATGCTCTATGAGAAGACGTCTGCCAGAACCAAGTGATGACCGTGAATCTGCAACTATGACCAGACTGTAAGAACAGCAAATTAAAAGGTATGTGTCCAGACAAGAGCACAATGCAGGAAGCTTAAGAAAAATAAATCAACACAGAACAGGCATCAGACAGAGCATCACTGAAAGCAATCTTATACAGATACAATGTAAAAGAACCAGAGGTCGACCACATAGAACGTGGACCACAGAAATATGACAGACACTGAGAATTAATATATACAAAGCCAACAAAAGGACCCGTTCCAGAGATGATTTCCTCACCTGAGTTTTTTGGAAGTAGAGGAAAGAAGAAGAACTGGTGTTGTCAGCCACCACATGCTGTGGGATTTAGTGAGGAGGAGATTCAAGCACTTCTGGGCTGAATGTAAAGTTTGATAAAGTTACTGGAACATGGAAAGTGCTAGATGTTAATGTGATTTTAATATTTAAACATCATTAAGAGGTTCATGTGTCACTGTTTACAATATTGCATTAGAATGATAGATAAAGTTATTGCAACAAAGAAAGTTGTGCACACTGCTGTGAGATTTTACTCAAGTTTGTGTGATTTAAAAATTTAAAGATAAATCCCCTCCAAAAAATATGGTTAAAAGAATGTTAGTATTCAATGACGTAGGAACTGACTGATGATGGTCATTGGGTTAGAATAGCTGATGTTCACATCTAAAGAGGGTGGTGTTTAAAACAACAGGAGTAAGTTTACATTTATCCTCTTCTTTAGCATTCTCAGTCATTGAGGTTCATTGCTACAGACATCTTCTGCCTTCCTTAAATGTCTTATTTCATGACAAAATAAAGTTTTTACATGGGGGAGGCGGAGGGGGGGGGGGGGGATGATCTAACCCCAACCTTCATTTCAGACAGAAAACAGCTATCAAGGCTAACAACCTAAGAGAAACTGTTGCTAAACTGATGTCAATGATATCTGAATACCCCAAAAGCTGGTAGCCCCCATGCAAAAAATATTACAATACTGTTAAACTCAACACCTCCAGGAATTAACTCTTTGGGCACCAGGGAACACATCAGATGTTGATTTATGAGGGAAAGTCAAACATTATCTACACTTTTGGCATAACTCTTCTTACTTTGTCCACACTGACTTCAGGGATCACTTATTTTACCTTTATACTGTTGTGGTAATGCTATAAAAGTTTAATCCTAATTCTGCCATTTTTCTTCCTGCACCAAAGAGGAACAACGAGCAGTAATATGATTCCTCTGGTCGGAGGGTATCAAATTTCAGAAATTCATTGTAGACCATCATCACAATATGGGGGAAGTGCACTCTCATGTAAAACTGTTTTATTGTAGATCGAGAAACTTTAAAGTGGTTGAACAAGTGTGAGGCATGAAGAGGCAGCAGAACAGCCATCAACCTCCACTACAGATGACAATATTCAGCCAGTTTTGGTTCTGAGAATAGGTGAATTATCATAGATCAGGTAGTATCTGTGTTAAACAATAGTCATGGTTCTGCCCATCAAATCATCCACGACAAACTCCGCTTTCATAAAGTCTTAGCGCGGTGGATACCAAGAACGCTTGGGAGGTAGCCTCAAACATAAGACGTGCAAAATGTGACGCAAAAGTGTCTTCATGACCCTCCAAAAACCTTTTATTTGAAAGGAATGCGTAAGCCCGTTATCCGATGCGCAAAGTTATGCGCAAAGTGAGATTACACAGAGAAAATGATGTGCATAGTGCAACCCTGGCCTCATGTAAATAAATGTAGAATGAAAAGTGTCGATAATTTCGGACTCTCCCTCGTATAACTATCTGTTCCTCTGGTACCAAAAGAGTTAACTTGTCCAAAATAAGAGAAATAAAAATATATGGAGTTAGTACCCATATGTACACTATATGTATTTATGAAATTTAAATTTACACACAGTAGTAAATCTCAAGTATAATAATAGATATAAATCAGCAATGAAACCATGAAACCAAATATGTTTGCTTGTTTATGTATCATGCAATATGAATATACAGTCAAATATAATCACACAACATCTCTCAAGCTCTGAGTATGTTTCTTACCTCATCTGACATCTTTTGGAATGTTTTCATAGTTTCTTGAACTCTAAAAACAGATGTGAAACACATCCATCAAAAACTTGAAAATGATTCAGTCTGATCTTTCTAATGAAATGTTTGACAAACGTGAATACAACTGAACAAAGAACTTACAAACAAAAGATTAAACATCTTATTTCCTAGCATAGTCCTTTCACATGTGGTGGTCTGCAGACTTTAGAACAAATTTAATGACTCTCTGATATCATCATTATCATCATCATAAATAACATCTGTCGTAAAGCATCATGGGTAGAAACAATTTATGATCCAGTGAATGCCGGCTGGCACCGACTATTGTCATGCTGTGAAGGTGAAAAGTGTCCCTAATGTTGTCAATCCATGTTTTTTGTGGCTGTCCTCTTGCTCTTGTAGCTGATCTTCTGTGATGGTCCTTGATGTTGCTGAGATGGCAAAATCGCCTGATCTGCTGTTTCTCAATGAATCTTGTACACGATGTTGCTCCCACAATCCATCTGAGAGTAATATTATTTATTCATTCTGGGATGGTCAGACTGGTGGCTCTCCTTTTATGCATCTGAACTCACAAGTGATGTGATATTGTTTTTTTAACATGCTCACCCATTAGGCCGAGAGAAGGATAATGCTGATTTGGCAAAACATGGTGGCTACACTACCAGATAGGCTTTGTGATATGCTGAGGAGGCACTTTATCCCTGGCCTTAATTGGTACTGTCACGGACTGGTTCCCTCACCTCCCTGTGGTACAATGGAACATCATTATCTGGAAAGGAAGAAAGATGCCAACAATAAGACCAGCAACGATCAGAGATCAGAGCTTCTTACCTTTGGACAGGTGGTGTAGGAGGTGGCGTTTCAAAGGTACATCTGGATAACTTGTCTACTGAAGACAGTTCAGTGTCAGATCCATCCATAATACCGCTGCTTCTGAAAATTGTTTGGAAAATATGCGTTTTAAACACTAGGCACACAAAATGTTGATATTAAACAAACAAAAACACAATACGAGATCTTCTTTCTAGTTTTTTAATGTTCTTTGTTTCATATTTCCTTTCATTTAGTTTTTGGAGCAATGGCGGCCTGGTGTAGACTTGCGCCAGTTGGCCAAAACGTCTAGGGTTTAAATCAAGATAAAAGTGAATTTGTTTTTCAGATCTGACCTTAGCTCCCAAGTTGACTCAGGGTATAATGGGTACCAGAAAGTGTCCTGAGAAACTGAGGTGGCCGGCGTGATGCTGACCCTATCATTAATCAAGTGCCTACTGGTCTATAAACAATATAATAAAGTAATGGACCCTTTCCCACATCTTAAGGAGTACAGGTCATATTCACCCTTAAGACAGTGCCTGGCATGTTGTATTGTGGTTTACAGCTAGGCAGCAATAGATTTTCATAATAAAACAATAAATAGGTACCTCTCCCATTTCACTCTTGGGCTGTCTACAAAACTTTCTAATATCCCATCAACGGTGTCAATCATCTTACCCTTTTTTCTTTCTCTTCTCAGCATTCACCAGCTGTAAACTTAAGTGGGAAATTCTGGTTATTTGTCCACTTCTGGACTTAATCCTGTTCCAGAACTTGAATTCTGCATGCACATCCGTTTCACAGATCTGGCTTACTTGTATACAGTCTGTTGGTTCATTGTTGCTCAGATAAATGGGCTCTGACTTACTCTTACAACATTCTTGTTAGAGGTAATGGGTGTATTCTTTTTCCCCCCAAATAGGGGCACCGGAACACACATGGGGAATTCCCTCTTGTATATGCTACACCTCTAAGTAACAAGTAACAACTTCTTAGGATGCAGCCAAATAAATATATCAGCTGCCTGGGACTGGGCGAGACAATCACCAAGTCGGAATTAAATACTCACTCTTCTGAGTCCCTCCTTGGAAGAGGGCGGTCATCTTTATCCTCAAATTCCTCTGTGCTGGACGCTTTAACTAGGACACCTTCATCGCTAGCTGTTGAATGTAGCTCTTCCTTCCTCTCTCGTCTTTTCAGATCCAACTCCAACCTCTCAACCAGTGACTGCTCTCTGTCAAATTTGCCTCTATTAAAAGAAGAAGAAGAAAAATAGTTTATTTACAACAGACATCTGGAGAAACTGTATCTGTCAACATGTATCTGTCAACAGATAGTGCCCAAGCTAAACAAAACATGATCATGTGCCACACCGGAAAGCGTAGGCCATCATGTTTCGCCATCCCACACGATCACCAGAATCATGGATCAGGTCAATGTTTTTGTCTCAACCCATCCATATGGCCAAGCCATCTAGGTATTTATCACCTTGCCTTCCTCCTACTCTCTTTCCATCAATCTTGCCAGCTGTTAACAAGTTTTTGAGTCTATTCTTGCTCATAAGATGTCAGAAAACCACAGACTGCCTACAACCAATTGTCCCACTAAGTTCACGACTTTCATCTGTCTCGATGTCTTGCTTCATTTGCTTTTCTATAATTCCATGACAATCTTTGCATTCTTGTCAAAACCCACATTTCTGTCACAAATAAATGTTTCTGAGCTTGTCTGCTTACTGTCCATCTCTCTCATAAACATAAAACAACAAAAGTTCTAAACAGCACTTAACCCCTTTTCTCACTGCAGATTTTAGGCCGTGAGTGCAGGTACTGGCCAGCTGGTGCTGCAGAATCAGAAGTTCAACACATGATTTATATCAATTCCCGTGCAAGTGATGTGATTATCTATACAGATGGCTTTGTGTTGAGAGGCAGATGAAGTACATGGGGGTTCATAGTAAAAGCGAATAGATGTCACTTGGTGCAACCAAGCCTGGCATATGATATCACAGTGTCTAGTTTGAGAATGGAGGTGGAGGCAGTCACTGCTGCCTTCCGCTGGCTTGAGAATCAGCTATACACACATGCGTGATTGTCACTGACTCACAGAAGATGTTGAGAAAGGTGGAGTCAGGCATGCTTCGTGCAAGTGGCAAGCATCAGTTTAGAGGTCCGGGGTATTTAGCGTCCTTTGAATATTTTCTCCAGCTTATGCGGATGTGTTAAGAAATGAGCAGGCAGACAGACTGGCCAGCTGTGCACTGCTTGGTAGTGAATTGATGAATCACAAGCTAGATATCGGAAGGTCCCATTGGGAGTGAGTGAACAGTGCAGAGGTACAGATAGATTATTATGGTCTGAGGAGAATGGCGCTGCGAGGAGTTACCAGGGGATCTGGCCGACGCTCAACACTCAGGGGAAAAATCAGACAGTTATTGGTGCCATCGGAATTGGAACTCTACGCTTGCTGCTAAAGATGTGGATGGAGCGCTCATGATAGTATCCAGAGTGCTAATGATGTTGATTCTTTATTCAACCTTCACAAAGCAATTAGATTCTAATCAGAAAGTATTTTTTTTTTTTTTTTTGCATCTTGCTAAAGGCCACTTTTGCTACGACAATTCTTACTCTAATTTCTGCAAGGCATCTTGTATCAGATATTATGACTTTTTCACTACAGTTGTACCTATGAAAGGAATATTCAACACAGTTAATAGCCAAACAAAAATTACTTTACAAAATTATTCTGACAAGAACATTTTACAAATCACTAAAGGAAAACAGACACCACAAGCAGACATGAAAGCTCTCTGGCAGTCCTTGGCCCATGTGCCTTGACAAGAGTTTCAACCATAATATCTTCAACATGCAGCAGATCAATTATCACAAATTATTTGCATCACAGCCTTGTGGGAAAGATCATCTAGCTTTTAGCGTTTTCCTAGCTTCATAATTAGCCATATTTACCCTAGACAACACAACTACACTGCCTTAAACTTTTCCAAAGTTTGTTCGCATTGCAAGACTTTCTGTAACACAGCAGAATAGGTAACAAGAAACCTTTTAGTATGTTCTTTCTGACAAATAAACTGACGCACAACAAGAACTTTCCGCCAGAGTTTACAGACGGTGAACATGAAGAATAATACTGATTACAGATTCAAGAATCTACATCATAGAACACTGGGCATACCCATAGGTGCTCCGTCTCCCACAGCAAATGTCCTAAAGTATAGATGCTAACTGTTCCCATAGCAATACACATGTCTTTCTCTTCCTCTCATACGTGCCTCCTTGCCGGATCCACACTTAATTCACACATACTAGCACGTTATTTCATCTAATCTTGTCTTTTTACGCCAGTGGGGCAAATGACGACTCATATTTTAACAGACCAACTGGCACTCAGCAGATGATGTGGACAACACCATATCAGTCATCTTTATTTCTCAGGGCATTTCCCTGTTCCCTTTGTAGGCTGTGTCAACCTAGGAACCTTTGATGCAGATTTGATCCAACAACATCAGGGTGGCCGGCTATGATAGAAACTGAACATATATAATGACACAGATACAATTGTTGATACATTCACACAGGTCAGGGAGTCGTGCCAGCAGAGTGGCTTATATACATGCCTGTCAGCTTGTGGTCATATGTTTGAGTCTTCAATAAGGTCAATTTTTAAGCTACTGGGCTTTCAGGTTGACCAAGTCTAAAAAAATTTACCAGTGAAATACTTCTGGAGGTAAAGGCAGCCAGCACAATATTTACCACAGCACCTATCAGGTGCAATTAGTCAACTGAAAATGCCCAATAAGCCTGAAGGCTTGGGAAAAGATCCTTTAGATTTAAACACAGCTAAAGAAGAAGATACAAATCATAAGCATAACTATACCTGACTATTCTGTCTCTTTTCTGAATTTCTTCTTTTCTAACTCTCTCAGCTTCCAAACGCAATCTTTCATTCTCCTGTTCTTTCTCCCACTGGTCTTTTTCTTTTGCCAGCTTCTCCCGATCTCTCCTCTCCTGCGCTTCCTTTGCTAACATTGCATAGTACTCTTCTCGCAGCTCAAGGAACCTGAAACAACAACAAAAGTCGTGTATTAACACTGTCTTCATTTCTTTTTCTTCTTAAAGTCCACGCCGTGTGGCGCTGGTAGTCATGTCTATCCACAACCTTCTGTCTTGTGTACTTTCAATCATCTATGATACCGATAATGTCCTTACAGTGTGGCACAATTAACAAACATCAAACACAGTACAACACATGGCAGGTGAACATTCATATTTCAATGGTAGATACAAATATAGACAGCCTCGTGTTGGTAAACAAGCGGAGTCAAGCAAAGAGTCAAACCAAATGGGAAAAATAGTTTTGCCTCTGCTGAGAATTAAACCCGAACCACTGCCTTTGCCGGTAATGCCCACTAATACCCTGTGCCACCATATTATGAGCTATAAACTATCACACATAACAACCAGTAGCCACTGAACCGTGAGAAATGGCAAATTATAATCACCTTCACTTTTGACATGGCATTTGTATGATGGTGGTGGTGTTGGTCAATGTAGTAGAGATGATGGTAGTGGTGGTAGTAGTGATGACTCTGATAATGATGGCGATAATGATAATAATGAGATTAGTGATGTTAATTGTGATGATGATGATGGTGGTGGTAGTGGTGTGTGTGATAATGATGATGATGATGATTCATGGCTACAATAGTAGTCCTACCTCCATCTCTAAGACCGGATATAAAACTGACAGTAAAGAAAATGACAGAAGAAGAAAATTCATGACATATGATGATAACAATGAGTCACAGAGATAAAACTGGCCCTACCTCCGTCTCACAAGCACTGCTTGAATATAAGACTGAATGTAAATAACGGCAGCTCGCTTGGCCAGGAACATTCTGCGAGCCAGGCAGCACCGGATGTGAGTCTGAATCAGAACTGCAGCCCCTGTCTGATACAGATGTTCATGGAAGTCTCGCTGGGCCAAGTACCGCCTGATATGAGTCTGCAAATCACAGATAGGCACTTATTGACAAGTGATGAGTAAAAGTATATGTCATTGCTAAATCTGTATGTCAGCATTAGAATACGTAAATTAACTATGATATTAAACACATGCTGTGACAATAATCATGTGTTAAAAAGTATATATGAGCATCCAAATTTGTATGTAAAAACTACGAGATTATTCTTTTGGCAAAGACAATTTATAGGTTTTGCTGCACTGGCAGTACCCCACAAGCCTGTTTAATGGTACTGGTTCTGTTTGCACTTGCGCAGTGTTTATCAGGGCTGGGTATGACTAAATTTAATTTTTTAGAAACAGAGTTTAGGTTTTTATTGTGATTTTTTTTTTTTTTTTCAAAATAGACTTTATGATGTCAAAATTATATCATAATCCACCATAAGCATTTAGCACTGGCATAGAGATGAGGTCACTGTATGAATCACTATACACAATATTTTAAGGCTAGATTAATGTATTCCAATTAATTATATGTTTATTAATTACTACCCTTCTTTTATATATATATATATATTTTTTTTTTTTTATTTTTTTTTTTTTTTTTTGAAAATTGTATATAAATAAATGTTAGCTTTATTTAATGTTAGGGATCTGTGTAAAAAAATTTTTAGATTATTTTTCCAAGAATTCTAGGGCATATATCTTTCTCCTTCAAGTGGTCTGAGGCTAAAGAGTTGAAATACACTGTGACTAAAAACTTTACCAAAATGTGTATGTTATTTATTAGATTAAAACACAAGCTGTGGTACAATAAACCTACTTTTCCACTAAGGGCATGTTAATGACTTGTGTTGAATGTAGAACATTATTTACTTAATCCTTTTTTTTAAATTAAATTTGGCAGAAGTGGTGCAAATTTTTCATTGTGGTTCGGAACTATAAAAATAAGTCGGTAAATTAAGATGGCTGCCTCCAGAAGATTATCTAGAAGTTGCTTATACAAGAGAAAGTCAGAACTTTTGATACTAAACCACTTTTTTTTTTGGACTACACCTTCAGACAACTATGTGAATATATACTAAAATATTACAGCAGTCAATATTTTGTGTAAGTATCTTTTTGTCTTTTCAGACATTGATGCTTTCTGGAAAAAGACACGAGAATCATGGCCTATTGTGATGGCACAACCAGCAAGGCCTGCTCGTGTAAACAAAATTCTCCCACAATCACAGCATGGGACTACAGGATGTGTTTAACGTGACACTTAGCTCTTAACCGTTTCCCACCCCTTTAAGCATTTAGGTGCAGGGCTAGACCTACGTTATATAGAGTAATCGGCACCAGGTCAGTGATGGAGACAGCATCATGCGGGACTCCTTTACTTCCCAGGACTGCGCCTGGTACCCACTCAAGGCTTGGTCAACCTAGGAGCTAAGATTATTTTTTTTTTAAAGTTTGCCTCCGCCAGGACCCGAAACCAAGACCTGCCGATCCGCAAGGAGAGCGTTTAGCCGGTTTACCACAGCGACTCCCTCTTAACCTATCTGCAGTCAAAATTGTTTCCTTTATCTCTATTCCATTCCTGATTTTTCCTTTCACACAACACAGTCTATGGCATCCTGTACATACAAATCTACCTCAATCTTGTATTTCCTTTATATCCTGCTTGAATACACTTCCCACTTTAGTAAAGGCGACTCTGACATCATCTACCCATCTCTAACTCAACACACAGGACCTCCCTAGGGAGTCTACCATCCTCCAAGTATATCCTAGCCATCTGAGCTTGCAAAGACTAAGCAGTGAGACAACTATTGTATAACCTGCCTGCTCTTTCCAATACTCCAGGCAATATCTCAGCAGTCAAAATAAGCTTACAGACATCTCCCCAAAGTTTCTTCTCAGAAGAGTAATGGTAGAGGCCAAAACTTCTGATAATATTAAAAGTGTTGCCAGGTGGGTCTAACATTGAAACAGAAAGAGGGGTGGCAGGGTTGCTCTTTGTAGACTGTTGTCCCGTAGTATGTCTGAAACTGCCTGAGACACAAGGTTGTGAGAAAGTGTCACCCCCTACACTGCGGTATCCTTCTGACCTGGAAAATGTGGAAGGTCCTGAAGCGCCTCACCATCTACAGTAGTACTTGAGATCAGCCTTTTCAGAATTGTGTAAGAAGTCTAGTCTGACCTGTCTCATCAATTGGTGAAGAGTTTTTTCTTCTAACTTCCTTTAGCCATGTGTATCTCATTTTAGTGTCTGTTTTGCAATTCTTTATCTATTTCATTTCTGTGTGCATTTTTTGTTTCGGCATGGGGGGGGAGGGGGGGGGGTTAAATACACACCTTTCATCAGCAGATTTAAGACTGACCACTTGCTATAAGCCTAACTACTGTCCACTACAAAACAGTGGCTAGGACACAGTACCTGTACTAGCACAGTAGCCTCCTTGAGGCGAAAGAAGGCTCGTCTCTCTAAACAGGTCTTCACCCATCTCTGTATAGTGATCACCCTCTTCATGATAGCAGAATGCAAGGCTTCATCGAGCCGCATCTTCTCTGATTCCCTCAAAAAGATCTGAAAATGGAACAACCAATTAAAATGCCAATTACATAATAGCTGTTAATGTGTTATCAAAAACCCAACAATGAAGGTAACAACATGACAAAACTAACAGTGTTCCACAAGATGGGCCTGCATAACAAAGAGTGAGTGGTCTTACTGATCCCAGCACACACAACAAACACCAAGCTACCTTACTGATCCCAACCCACACAACAAACACCAGGTTACCTTACTAATACCAGCACACAAAACAAACACCAAGTCACTTTACTAATACCAGCAAACATAACAAACACCAAGTTACTTTACTAATACCAGCCCACACAACAAACATCAATTTACCTAACTAATACCAGCCCACACAACAAATATCAAGTCACCTTACAAATACCAGCCCACACAACAAACACTAAGTTAACTTACTAATACCAGCATACACAACAAACACTAAGTTAACTTACTAATACCAGCCCACACAACAAACACTAAGTTAACTTACTAATACCAGCCCACACAACAAACACTAAGTTAACTTACTAATACCAGCATACACAACAAACACTAAGTTAACTTACTAATACCAGCCCACAAAACAAATACCAAGTTAACTTACTAATACCAGCCCACACAACAAACACCAAGTCACCTTGAACACAACATTCTCCACTCAATGGACACCTAAACAGAATACAGCCACAACACTCCCCAGAGTGCCAGCTATGTAACTACCCCTACGAAACTGTTGACCATCATCTCTTTGAGTGCCAAAAACTCAACGAGACTAGAAGAACGCTACTCCCTCCGAGACCAGACAGGTGGAACACCGTGTAAGGAGGAAAAGAACAGCTTGTGAAAACATGTAAATTCCACTACATGGCATTGGGCCAAAGGGCGAAAGCTCATGTGCTGCTGGATCAATAACAACAACAACAACAACCAAGTTACCTTACTAATACCAGCCCACATAAAAAAACATCAAGTTACCTTACTAATACCAGCCCACACAACAAACACCAAGTTACCTTACTAATACCAGCCCACACAACAAACATCAAGTTACCTTACTAATACCAGCCCACACAACAAACATCAAGTTACATTACTAATACCAGCCCACACAACAAACATCAAGTTACCTTACTAATACCAGCCCACACAACAAACATCAAGTTACCTTACTAATACCAGCCCACACAACAAACATCAAGTTACCTCACTAATACCAGCCCACACAACAAACATCAAGTTACCTCACTAATACCAGCCCACACAACAAACATCAAGTTACCTCACTAATACCAGCCCACACAACAAACATCAAGTTACCTCACTAATACCAGCCCACACAACAAACATCAAGTTACCTTACTAATACCAGCCCACACAACAAACACCAAGTTACCTTATTGATACCAATCTGATAGTTCTCTTCCTGCAAGCTCATAGATTTCAGGAAATGTCTGATGTCCTCTTTAGTGTGTTGCCGTTTCCTTGGTAGCAAGATTTTGTACAAACTGATAAACTCCTGGCAGAAACAATCCAGTTGTTAATATCGACTAAAAAAAGTGTTGGGGACAGGACACCACATGGAGGACACTATGCTGCTGTAAGACTTTCTTGCTCTTGAGTCCATCTATTCGCTATCTTTATCTCTATTTAATATCTTTATCTTTATCTCTGTTTACTATTTGTCTGTTCGCTATCTGTATCTATATTTGTTATCTTTATCTCTATTTGCTATCTTTATCTCTATTTAATATCTTTATCTTTATCTCTATTTATCTATTTACTATTTGTCTGTTCGCTATCTGTATCTATATTTGTTATCTTTATCTCTATTTGCTATCTTTATCTCTATTTAATATCTTTATCTTTATCTCTATTTACTATTTGTCTGTTCGCTATCTGTATCTATATTTGTTATCTTTATCACTATTTGCTATCTTTATCTCTATTTAATATCTTTATCTTTATCAGTTTACTATTTGTCTGTTCGCTATCTGTATCTATATTTGTTATCTTTATCTCTATTTGCTATCTTTATCTCTATTTAATATCTTTATCTTTATCTCTGTTTACTATTTGTCTGTTCACTATCTGTATCTATATTTGTTATCTTTATCTCTATTTGCTATCTTTATCTCTATTTAATATCTTTATCTTTATCTCTGTTTACTATTTGTCTATTCGCTATCTGTATCTATATTTGTTATCTTTATCTCTATTTGCTATCTTTATCTCTATTTAATATCTTTATCTTTATCTCTATTTACTATTTGTCTGTTCGCTATCTGTATCTATATTTGTTATCTTTATCTCTATTTGCTATATTTATCTCTATTTACTATGTTTATCTCTATTTGTTATCTTTATTTCTATTTACAATATCTCTATTTGCTATTTGTATCTATATCTGTTATCTGTATCTATATTTGTTATCTGCATCTATATTTGTTATCTTTATCGCTATCTGTTATCTGTATCTCTATTGGCTACCTGTATCTATATTTGTTATCTTTATCTTTAATTGCTATCTAAATCTCTATTTACTATATGTATTTCTATTTATAATCTTTATCTCTATTCACTATGTTCATCTTTATTTGCTATCTTTATCTCTATTTAATATCTTTATCTCTATTTGTTATATTTATTTCTATTTACTATCTTTATCTCTATTAACTATATCTCGTTGTATTATCTTTATCTCCACTTACTATCTTTATCTCTCTTTAATATCTTTATCTCTATTTTCTATCTGTATTTCTACTTGCTGTCTTTATCTCTATTTCCTATCTTTATCTATTTACTATATTTATCCTATTTACATTTCTATATTTTGCTATTTTTATCTCTATTTATTATCTGTGTAACTATTTATTATATGTATCTCTATGTACAATCTTTATCTTCATTTATTATATGTATCCCTATTTACTATATCTCTGTTTGCCATCTTTACCTACTATGTTTATCTCTATTTACAATCTTTATTGCTATTTACTGTCTTTAAAATATTCACTATTTATCATGACCGAATAATACTATAAACTATACCTTTCTAACAGACATACCAATTACAAGTTTTAATATACTATCAAAAATTATAAAATGTTTCAAGCCTAAGCAATTATAAAAGAAATAGATGAAGGTAATATCACAAAAGAAAAAGACATACATTCATTCCTTATACTGACCTCAAACAAACACCTCATACATTCACTCATTATACTGACCTCAAACAAAAGCCTCATACATACATTCATTTATTATACTGACCTCAAACAAAAGCCTCATACATTCACTCATAAAACTTACCTCAAACAAAAGTCTCATAAATTCACTCATTACGCTGACCTTGAACAAAAGCCTCATACATTCACTCATTATACTGACCTTTCAACAAAAGCCTCATACTTTCATTCATTAAACTGACCTCAAAAAAAAAGCCTCATACATTCATTCCTTTATTATACTGACCTCAAACAAAAGCCTCATACATACATTCATTTATTATACTGACCTCAAACAAAAGCCTCATACATTAACTCATTAAACTGACCTCAAACAAAAGCCACATACATTCACTCATTATACTGACCTCAAACAAAAGCCTCATACATACATTCATTTATTATACTGACCTCAAACAAAAGCCTCATACATTCACTCATAAAACTTATCTCAAACAAAAGTCTCATAAATTCACTCATTACGCTGACCTTGAACAAAAGCCTCATGCATTCACTCATTATACTGACCTTTCAACAAAAGCCTCATACATTCATTCATTAAACTGACCTCAAAAAAAAAAGCCTCATACATACATTCATTTATTATACTGACCTCAAACAAAAGCCTCATACATTAACTCATTAAACTGACCTCAAACAAAAGCCACATACATTCACTCATTATACTGACCTCAAACAAAAGCCTCATACATTCACTCATTATACTGACCTCAAACAAAAGCCTCATACATATATTCATTTATTATACTGACCTCAAACAAAAGCCTCATACATTCACTCATAAAACTTACCTCAAACAAAAGTCTCATAAATTCACTCATTACGCTGACCTTGAACAAAAGCCTCATACATTCACTCATTATACTGACCTCAAACAAAAGCCTCATACATACATTCATTTATTATACTGACCTCAAACAAAAGCCTCATACATTCACTCATAAAACTTACCTCAAACAAAAGTCTCATAAATTCACTCATTACGCTGACCTTGAACAAAAGCCTCATACATTCACTCATTATACTGACCTTTCAACAAAAGCCTCATACATTCATTCATTAAACTGACCTCAAAAAAAAAGCCTCATACATTTATTCATTAAACTGACCTCAAACAAAAGCCTCATACATTCACTCATTATACTGACCTAAAACAAAAGCCTCACAGATTCACTCATTATACTGACCACAAACAAAAGCTTCATATATATACTCATTAAACTGACCTTAAACAAAAGCCTCATACATTCATTCATTAAACTGACCTCAAACAAAAGTCTCATATATATACTTATTAAACTGACCTTAAACAAAAGCCTCATATATTCACTCATTATACTGACCTCAAACAAAAGCCTCATACATTCACTCATTATACTGACCTTAAACAAAAGCCTCATACATTCAATCATTATACTGACCTCAAACAAAAGTCTCATAAATTCACTCATTATGCTGACCTTGAACAAAAACCTCCTACATTCACTCATTATACTGACCTTTGAACAAAAGCCTCATACATTCACTCATTTTACTGACCTCAAACATAAGCCGCATACCTTCACTCATTAAAAACTGACCTTTAACAAAAGCCTCATACATTCATTCATAAAACTGACCTCAAACAAAAGCCACATACATTCACTCATTATACTGACCTCAAACAAAAGCCTCATACATTAACTCATTAACTGACCTCAAAAAAAAGCCTCATACATTCACTCATTATACTGACCTCAAACAAAAGCTTCATACCTTCACTCATTATACTGACCTCAAACAAAAGTATCATACATTCACTCATTATACTGACCTCAAACAAAAGTCTCATAAATTCACTCATTACGCTGACCTTGAACAAAAGCCTCATACATTCACTCATTATACTGACCTCAAACAAAAGCCTCATACATTCACTCATTTTACTGACCTCAAACAAAAGCCTGTAGTTGTACCCTGACTGCCGAATTTTGACTGTGGCTAACATTCCTGTGTACCTCAACTGTCGCATCACAAGCTCTTCATCAAAAACACATGGTGCCTACAGAAGAAAACATTATGTGAACAACTGCATCACAAGTTCTTCATCAAAAACACATGGTGCCTACAGAAGACAACATTATGTGAACAACTGCATCACAAGTTCTTCATCAAAAACACATGGTGCCTACAGAAGACAACATTATGTGAACAACTGCATCACAAGTTCTTCATCAAAAACACATGGTGCCTACAGAAGACAACATTATGTGAACAACTGCATCACAAGCTCTTCATCAAAAACACATGGTGCCTACAGAAGACAACATTATCTGAACAACTGCATCACAAGCTCTTTATCAAAAACACATGGTGCCTACAGAAGACAACATTATCTGAACAACTGCATCACAGACCCTTCATCAAAAACACATGGTGCCTACAGAAGACCATACTATGTGAACAACTGCATCACAGGCTCTTCATCAAAAACACATGGTGCCTACAGAAGACAACACTATGTGAACAACTGCATCACAAACTCCTCATTAAAAAAAAACATGATGCCTACAGAAGAAAACATTATCTGAACAACTGCATCACAAGCTCTTTATCAAAAACACATGGTGCCTACAGAAGAAAACATTATTTGAACAACTGCATCAAATGCTCTTCATCAAAAACACATGGTGCCTACAGAAGAAAACATTATGTGAACAACTGCATCACAGACTCTTTATCAAAAACACTTTGTACCTACAGAAGACAACATTTGAAAAATACGTTTGGTCAGTATACCTAAGTCAGTGAATCCCCAAGAGAGTCAATCAAGTCATCATGTAAACAATAAACTGCACAGTTAACTGCCTAGCTGTGCCTCCTCAGGTGGATTACCACGGAGTTAGACCAACAAAGACTGACAAGTTAGCTGCGAATCCATTACGGGACGTTGTAGAACCCCAGCATTTTCTGGCTGTTGTGGTTTTTCTTGGCAAATTAACATTCTGTAGTTTACTACTGCTTTTTAAAGGGCTGACTCTCGGCACCACTTTAGAAACCAATGCAAGATGGTCTGCTGCCAAATCGCCTGCAGCTGGGATCGAAGTTTACTACTGCTTTCTAAAGGGCAGACTCTCGGCACTACTGCAGAAATCAATGCAAGACGGTCTGCTGCCAAATCACCTGCAGCTGGGATCGAACCTGGCACTCAGGCATTACGAATAACTTTCGCAACGCCTAAGCCACAGACGCTGACAACATATAGCGAAACACAAAAAGAATCTTTTCCGCTGAAATACACAAATCACAATACTTCTAGTCACACCCACTAGAAATTCAAGATGATAAACATCTCCCCACCTGGTCAATATGTCAAGTGTCTTACTGGCATTTTTGAAGATTTCAAGTCAGGTTACTCTAGCAATCAATCACACTTCTTCTTCTTCTTTGGTTCGCTTCAAATAGCTTATCTATATCTGCAATGTTGTCTCTAGTATGAACTTCAAATCAATCACACTAAAAGAAAAGTGATGTTACTTTCTCCTTGTTTGACTTGATAGCAATCAATCATACTAAAAAAAAAGTGATGTTACCTTCTCCTTGTTTGACTTGATAGCAATCAATCATACTAAAAGAAAAGTGATGTTACCTTCTCCTTGTTTGACTTGATAGCAATCAATCACACTAAAATAAAAGTGATGTTACTTTTTCCTTGTTTGACTTGATACCAATCAATAACACTAAAAGAAAAGTGATGTTACCTTCTCCTTGTTTGACTTGATACCAATCAATCATACTAAAAGAAAAGTGATGTTTCCTTCTCCTTGTTTGACTTGATAGCAATCAATCACACTAAAAGAAAAGTGATGTTACCTTCTCCTTGTTTGACTTGATAGCAATCAATCACACTAAAAGAAAAGTGATGTTACCTTCTCCTTGTTTGACTTGATACCAATCAATCATACTAAAAGAAAAGTGATGTTACCTTCTCCTTGTTTGACTTGATACCAATCAATCATACTAAAAGAAAAGTGATGTTACCTTCTCCTTGTTTGACTTGATAGCAATCAATCATACTAAAAGAAAAGTGATGTTACCTTCTCCTTGTTTGACTTGATAGCAATCAATCATACTAAAAGAAAAGTGATGTTACCTTCTCCTTGTTTGACTTGATAGCAATCAATCATACTAAAAGAAAAGTGATGTTACCTTCTCCTTGTTTGACTTGATAGCAATCAATCATACTAAAAGAAAAGTGATGTTACCTTCTCCTTGTTTGACTTGATAGCAATCAATCATACTAAAAGAAAAGTGATGTTACCTTCTCCTTGTTTGACTTGATAGCAATCAATCATACTAAAAGAAAAGTGATGTTACCTTCTCCTTGTTTGACTTGATAGCAATCAATCACACTAAAAGAAAAGTGATGTTACCTTCTCCTTGTTTGACTTGATAGCAATCAATCATACTAAAAGAAAAGTGATGTTACCTTCTCCTTGTTTGACTTGATAGCAATCAATCATACTAAAAGAAAAGTGATGTTACCTTCTCCTTGTTTGACTTGATAGCAATCAATCATACTAAAAGAAAAGTGATGTTACCTTCTCCTTGTTTGACTTGATAGCAATCAATCATACTAAAAGAAAAGTGATGTTACCTTCTCCTTGTTTGACTTGATAGCAATCAATCATACTAAAAGAAAAGTGATGTTACCTTCTCCTTGTTTGACTTGATAGCAATCAATCACACTAAAAGAAAAGTGATGTTACCTTCTCCTTGTTTGACTTGATAGCAATCAATCACACTAAAAGAAAAGTGATGTTACCTTCTCCTTGTTTGACTTGATAGCAATCAATCACACTAAAAGAAAAGTGATGTTCCCTTCTCCTTGTTTGACTTGATAGCAATCAATCACACTAAAAGAAAAGTGATGTTACCTTCTCCTTGTTTGACTTGATAGCAATCAATCACACTAAAAGAAAAGTGATGTTACCTTCTCCTTGTTTGACTTGATACATCGAATGAAGTATGGGTTTGCCTGATTGAGTGTGTTCATCAGTCGTGCCAAGGACCACTGTTTACAGGACAGGAAAAAAAGTGGAGAGTTAGTTAATTTCTATTTGAATTAAACATATAAATCAGAGAACATGAGTCTACAATGTAGTTCAGTGATGGGATATAAAAAGTGACATGGTTTAGTCACAACTGGCACCTTTGTGGGAGATGACCTGTGTGATAGTATGTCCATTATTTGTCACACACGTTTTCTATGATTATTTGTCAATACTACATCACCTCTGAGTAATGATTTCACAACTGGGAGTTATACAAACGTGTGTGTTTTCTATGTTTCTTTGTGGCTACATCTCATCACATGTGAGTAATGATTTCACAGTTGGAAGTAAATATATACACATGTGTGTGTTTTCCCTGCTTCTTTGAGGCTACTACATCATAGGTGAGTAATGATTTCACAACTGGGAAGTAAACATTCACACACGTACATCCACCCACAGCTGCACATTCATGTGTATGCACACATGCAGATCTGCTGTAGTATGACGGCATAAACATGATAAAAAGTGCCTAGCTTCAAATGATACATAACTGCAAAACCTGGTCAGGAATTGCTCTTTGCTTGGGAAAAGGGTTAAAATGTCTCAATAATTCATGGAAACGTGCTTTCAACCACAGAACACTTGAGCCTCTTCTTCCTGTCATTAGTTAACTGTACCACTGGCAGTCACCTAGACCTGCAGAAGGAAAACATACCTGGACCTGCAGAAGGGAGAACATACCTGGAACTGAGCCCCAACTGTCGGTGGCTGCTTCTTGTTTCCTGTGGCCCGAGCCGTGCTTCCCATGGTGCGACTAGCAATGGCCTTTAGGGCTTTGATATCGTGGAAACTCTGAAATGTACATGTAAACTTATCTATTCTGTATTCTTTGAAGTGTTAACTGCACTATACAGAAACATATAAGTGCACTGCATAAACCTTACAAGAGCACTACAGGGAAACATAAGTGCACTACATATAAATCTATTAAGTGCACATCAAAACATATAAAGGCGCCACAGGAACACATATAAGTGTACCATACCACACAGACACTTACAATTAGTGCACTGCATAAACACATATGGTGCACTAGATAGAAAAATATAAGGGCATTACACAACTTTGTGAAGCTGTCAAGGGTGTCCTAATATAAATTCTTAAGAGGTTGAACAGGGGTATCTTGAGTTTTCTTTGTTGGTTTGCCATCTAGGATGAGCTTCTTGTAGTCTCAAGGGTAACAGAAATCTTTAGGAGGAAGGTCCATTCTTCTTCTTCTTCTTCTTAGCAATCACTGGCTGTAAACTCCAGTGGAATATTTGGGCTGTTTGTCCACATCTAGACTTTGGTCTTGTTCCAGAACTGAAGATCTGATTACACATCTATTTTACAGATCTAGCAAAGCTGTATGCAGACTGTTGGTTCCTCATCTCTCAGGCTAATGCACTTCGATTTCAGAGGAAATATCTCTAAGTAATTTCCTCCTCTGTGATACATTCTCCAGGAGAAGTTAGGTGGTGGTCCAAAGCCTCAGCCAAAGAACGCAGAAACATCCTAATACAGCAGATCAGGGACTCCGAAAATGATTTTCGGGTCCAAAAGGCAGCCCAACAGTCGCAGCAAGGCCAGTGGATCGGCCTCGGGAGTGCTTTGCCCCGAACACTCACACGAGCTGAGATCTTGGGCGAATGGCCTCATTGCAGCTGAGCTTTGTCATAAGATCTGCTTAGGATGTGTTACCCTCTGGCGCCAACATGGCCAAGTAGTCTGCGACCACCGACCCACCATGCCCACAATGCAAAGCTAAGCAGACGCTCAAGCATGTATTGCCTGCGTTAAAAGAAAAGCCCTAGGCCTGGGATGATATACATGGGCGAAAAAGTTGCATATGCTCCACTGATACTTGACTGTGTGAGGTTATTGGCTGTCAACTTGCCTGGATTTGAGAAATACCTCAGAAATCAATCTGAAGCACTGGCCTGAGACCAGACATGGTTCTGCACTCTGCGGCAGAAACATCAGCTCGTCCTGATAGAGCTTAGCATGCTGTATGAGACATGGACTGAAGAATTAATCGGTAAAACTCCAGCTGTCCATGCTCCCAGTGTGGAGTTCTTCTTAATCTTATCCACTGGATCTTATCCGTGTGACTAGATACTTAAATTTCTGGTCCTTCACATCCGGTACCACAATAAAAGAAGTATTTAGTTTCAGGTTAATGAAAATCTGTTATACTTTTTGTTTAAAGAAAGCTGGATGATTGATTGGCACCTTTCCGTCTTTCCAGACTATGGTGTTATACTGCACTACAAGGAGGCATGGGACTCACAGCCCATGGCAATTGGTGTGACTAGCAAGATCCGCCTGCGTTAAGAGAAATCTTCCACAATTACAGCATGCCATTTCAGGACCGCTGTTGTCAACATTTGTGTTTAGTCTGTTCCTTCTCAGACGCTCAGCGCTCATCCTTACTGAAGTCCTTTCTTCCTTCATTCTCATTCCCATCCTGATGTGCCTACTCCAGACAACACAGTCCATGGCATTTTGTTACCAGGAGTCCACCTCAATACCTGTATCATTCATGCTTCGCTTGCAACACATTTTTATATGATAGTAGAAGTCGGCCTTGACATCTTCCACCCATCTTTAATTCACCATAGAGGATGTCCTTAGTGACTCTCCCATCCTCCAGGTGTGACCGAGCCATCTGAACCTTCACATTGCATTGAGAAGACTGTTGTAATTCCTGCTCTTTCTAATAATTCAGTGTTTGTGATCTTGTTCTGTCACTTAATGCCAAGTATTTTTCTTAGGCATCGCATGTGAAAGCTGCTTAGCCGTCTCTCCTGGTATGAATAAGCTGACCACATTTCACAGCCATAAAGCAGAGTACTGAGAACACAAGCCTGACAGACAAGAGTTTTTGTTTTAATAGTCTGCTTTCTATTCTCCCAAACTCGTTTTGTTAATCTGCTCATTGTTGTTGCTGCCATACCTATCCTGGTGTTGATTTCTTGGTCCAGCAATAGTTTGTTATTCCCTGTGGCTCCTAGATAGCTAAAATGGTCAAGATGGATAGTGTTTAGATTAACTCTTTGAGTCCCAGGGGGTTTAGCACTACAGGCCCAAGGGGTAGTAAAGAGAGACATAATATCGGCGCATCAAGCGTTTATTGGGCTTCTAGGTAGGAACCTATGAACATATGATGCGTTCCTCGGGACTCAAAAGAGTTAACATTCATATAATATAAAAATAGTGCATGTGTGAATACATAGCTGTAATTATCTACTTTTGTTATCAAACCTGCTGTGAATAAAAGTGTGAAAGAAAGTCCCAGAGATAAAATACACTTACAAGAGAAGGTCTTGGTTTTGGCCTGAAAGACTTGTTTCTCCTGTAAATAGTCAAAATATAAATCACATGTTCAGTTGATGCTACAATCCATGTTATCTAGTCCAGGGCTATACAACAACATTTACTCAGTGGCCAACATGTTGACAATGGGATCATCATGGGCCCGAGGCCTGAGCCCCAGCTCAGAAAGATCACTAACACAATACTAATGGCAATGATCCGCGGGCCACCTGCCAGGCCACAGCTGGCCAGATTCAGCCCATGGGCCGCCAGCTAAATAGCTCTGGTCTAGTCCTATGCCAGGAATATTGCTTTTCATGATCTATACTTGCCACTAAATGTATGTGTCTGGTAAGCCACAGCTTGCTAAGTCTAAGATCACTGTCCTTTGTCTAAATATGTATAAAGGGCTTAGGAGGTTGTCTATGCATTATTTTCTTGTGCTTATAGGGAAAAACTTCAGTAACCAACTGTTTGTGTGTGTGTTAAATTTATATACATCAATACTATTTCTGCCAGTGCCTGACTGGATTGCTGATTCCATCGGTTATAAACACATCCGGCCTTAGATGTGTTTCCCCTTTCACCAGGTGGTTGTTAAAGACCTAGGCATATAACATTTTATGTTGTTCTATTAATGTCTACACAAGACACTTTTCTTTTTATCAATTATTTTGTTTTTAATTATTATTGATTTTTGGTGTTGTACATAATTTATAACATTTTATATACAAACTTTTTTCAGACTCCCAGACAGCTTTGTAAGAATGTTTGTCTGTGCGGGCCAATGTTCTGTCAAATCCTAAAGCAAAACATGTTTGGGTGCCAGATCACTTTGCAAAAGATTATTTCCACTTGTGAAAGTGACTTTGATCAGTTATGTCCTTGTTCTGTATTATGGTATTACAGAACAGCATCATTTGTATTGTCTGATCACAAGAGTGATTGGTTTTGTTTTTGTTTTTTGTTTCATAAATTAGGGTAAGTATCCCCAGTCAGTGTAATCTACCTTATATTAATGTAAGTAACATCAATCAATTCTATTTCTAATATAATAGTATCACAACTCAATGTAATTTCTCAAATATTAGGGTAATTATCACAAGCCAATCCAATTTCTTATAATATGGTTTTGTGAATATCACAAACCAATTCTATTTTTCACATATTAACTAACACAGACTAATCATATTTCTCATATATTATTTTACGAGGTAAATACTTATTGATAAATATTATTTTAGTTTCACAAACCATTCATATTTCTCACATATTATGGTTTCACCATCCAAATCCTATTTCTCACAAATTCTTGTTCAACAAAGATCATATTATATTTTTCACATACTCTTGTTTCACTATCCATTCAATCCTTTTTTTTCCACATATTCTTATTTCCCAATCCAATCCTACTCCTCACATATGCTTTTTTCACCACCCAATCCTACTTGTCACATATGCTTGTTTCACCACCCAATCCTACTCCTCACATATGCTTGTTTCACCACCCAATCCTACTCCTCACATATGCTTTTTTCACCACCCAATCCTACTCCTCACATATGCTTGTTTCCCCACCCAATCCTACTCCTCACATATGCTTGTTTCACCACCTAATCCTACTTGTCACATATGCTTGTTTCACCACCCAATCCTATTGCTTACATATGCTTGTTTCACCACCAAATCCTACTCCTCACATTTGCTTGTTTCAGCACCCAATCCTACTCCTCACATATGCTTGTTTCACCACCCAATCCTACTCCTCACATATGCTTGTTTCCCCACCCAATCCTACTCCTCACATATGCTTGTTTCACCACTTAATCCTACTTGTCACATATGCTTGTTTCACCACCCAATCCTATTGCTTACATATGCTTGTTTCACCACCAAATCCTACTCCTCACATATGCTTGTTTCACCACCCAATCCTACTCCTCACATATGCTTGTTTCACCACCCAATCCTACTCCTCACATATGCTTGTTTCACCACCCAATCCTACTCCTCACATATGCTTGTTTCACCACCCAATCCTACTCCTCACATATGCTTGTTTCACCACCCAATCCTACTCCTCACATATGCTTGTTTCACCACCCAATCCTACTCCTCACATATGCTTGTTTTACCACCCAATCCTACTCCTTACATATCCTTGTTTCACCACCCATTCCTATTCCTTACATATCCTTGTTTCACCACCCAATCCTACTCCTTACAAACGCTTGTTTCACCACCCATTCCTATTCCTTACATATGCTTGTTTCACCACCCAATCCTATTCCTTACATATCAACAAATGTAGACCCACTTTATTTCTTAAATATATTACTGTAGGCAACCTGCCTTAATTCACATATTTTAAGTATCAAAATCAAATTTCTCATATATTACTGCAAGCTAACAATATTTCTTCTATATTACTATAAGTATCCCAAACTAATCCCATTTCTTACATATTTTTGTGATAAATATCCTATTTGCCATTTAGCTGTGTAAAATATTTCCCATTTAGCAATATAAATACCATAAATTAATACAACTTCTCACAAGCCAATGCTATTTCTCATATATTATTATATGACAGCCAGCCGGATGTCTCATGAATTCTCTTCACAAATGAACCTATTGTTATGCATGTCTCATGAATTCTCTTCACAATTAACCAATTGTTATGCATGTCTCATGAATTCTCCTCACAATGAACCTATTGTTATGCATGTCTCATGAATTCTCTTCACAATTAACCTATTGTTATGCATGTCTCATGAATTCTCTTCACAATGAACCTATTGTTAAGCTTGTCTCATGAATTCATTTCACAATGAACCTATTGTTATGCAAGTGTAAGCAGCCATGCCATTCCTGACAGTAAAACACCCAAGCAAAGCTCACTCATGGGGATAAAATTTTAGTTCTAATTCATACAGTTCTTCACAGAGTTAATTTCACTAGGTTTACATTACAACTTCTAGCATGTAACACATCTTACGTAACACATCTTGAATGAAGTTAATACATACAGAAAAATAGAAGAAATAATAAAAACATCATTATCATCCAAATAATCATTATAATGTGCTAAGTCAAAAAGCATGGGAAATCATGTTTTGCCAACTGAAACGATCATTGGTCTCAGATTTAGACCTGTGTTCCTGTCATAATTATTGAAAGTCACCTAGTCATCCGGTTATTTATCTCCTTGTCTGCCATTTGCTTTCTGTCCCAGTGAGTCTTGATATGTCAGCCCTCATATGTAAACAACTGCAGGTGACCCCTGGCGGATGTAACCATTAAAGGGGCCCTAATTATAACTTTCTTTGGAGGCTGAACGGGGTATCTGGGATCTGTCTTGTTGGTCTGCCGTCCAGGTTGAATTTCTTTAATTTCAGCATGGTGTGGTAAACCTTTAAGTAGCAGTCCGGAAGCAACAAACTGATCAATCAGTCCAGTTATGTTCATAAATGAGCAGCGGTGGCATGGTGGATAAATGCTCATCTGCTGGCTTCAAATCTGCACCGAGGTGGGTATTTTTGAAAAGTTGGCATAGTTCCTAGGTTGACCCAGTCTAAAATGCGTACCAAGTAATGGGGGAAGTAAAAGAGGTCAGCGAGTGGATAACCACATCACCCACTGAGTGCTGACTAGTCCAAAGGAAAACCCTAAAGTGAAAACTGATGAAACAGTTCAAATGTGCTGCAAACACCAAAGCAAAAACTGCCAATTAGTGCCTGTATTTTACCACTTTTGTAGTGTAGGCAGCCGGGTCTTTCAGTTATGCTGTCGCCAGGGATGGCGCAGGTTAGATTTTTATTTTTGCTCCTGACCCAAAAAGATATACTTTGCCGAGGATTAGAACTAGGGTCTCCTACATGAGAGTCCTGTGTTCTTAACCATTCGGTCAGCAGCTCCTCAAAAGGTGTTGCATGGATTATACTGATGATAACGAAATGATTTCACAGGACAGAACACAATGGGAGAATAATCTGTGAGCCCTATGTGACACATAATGATGCAATAGAATGCTGTGTGAAATTTCAATTTCTAGCCAGATATATTTGTGATCAGGTCAAGCTGTTCTAACTAAATTATTCTGATCTGCTGATTAGAATGAAGACTACTTTACATGAGCAGTTTGTGAGCTTTGCGGATGACTTGAACTTCGTTCTCACTCAAGCGGTTCTCCAGGCTGCTGTATAGGAGCAGTTCTTCATGTATCTCCTCTTTCTGCTGCTGTAGATGGTAGTCTGTGTGTGGTCTTGGGTGAGTGTGAGAGGAGGGATGATCATCATCTACCAGTCCAGAACTGAGCAAATAAGATCATAAATGGTACAGCATACATGTATGGTATTATTTCATCAGTACTAGACACTATGTTAGAACACCAACAAAAATCACATACACACACACAAACAAAAGCAGAAAGCGGTATAATAACCCTCCCACCCCCACCCTCCACCCCCAACCCACCCACACACACACAATTCTTTAAATTGAGGCACCAATAAAATACATATTATTTATGCCATCTTTTCTTTACAGAACTTTCTCAGGAAATAATACGGTACAAATTTCTATGAGGCTATGTCATCGCCATGCTGTTCTACAAACAAGTTATGTTCCTTCCAGAAATTAAAACTAGACCATTGTCTCAGAAGGCTAGACAATTTTCCTCTTCTTCTTTTTTATATTCTTCTTTGCGTTCACTGGTTGCAAACCCCAATGGAAAGTCCCTGGCAGTTCCTTTACTTCTGGAGTTCGGCCTTTTACCAGAACTTGAGCGTTGCATGCCCATCAATATTTACAGATTGGGATTAATAGTGTGCAAACTGTTGGTTCCTCGCCTTGCAAGCAGATTTATTTTGACCATAAAGGAATTGATTTTATTTGATTCAAGAACCGACATCACAGCACTCGGGGCATTCCCATAAGCGCTCCGTCCCCATCTTCAGCAGCCAGCGAAAAGTTCGGATACTAATGGTGCCAGTAACTTTCTGATTAAACGTCCATCTTGCCTTTCCTCTGAGCCTAGAGCTTCTGCCAGAACCTCTCGTCACCCCCAACTGCATCAATCTCACCAGACTGTGGTGATCCATCTGCTCCTCTGCATTGTACACGCTCTCCCACAAGGCACTAACCACGTCTACCCTATCATGTAGCAGTATTCCATCACGTTGTGCAGAGCCAGCCAGTCTGTCCGCCTGTTCATTTCCCAACACACTGGCGTCACCTGGTGAAAAAATCCAGACAATACTCCTCACTCGTGTCCTCCACAGCGAAGCATGCCACTTCATAAAGGAACTGTTGATTCTATCTAGACTGTGCAAAGCACCGAGCTGGAAACCGCTTCTAGGATGGCCACGAAGTGCAGATAAATGCTGACCAGTTCATGACCTGGTGCTGTGTATTACCACATGCAATTGACCATCTCCACATCCCAGATCATCTTCTGTATATCCTTATGAATTAGTCACAGTAAACTTTAATGGACTCTGTAAAAAGTAAAAGTGAGGGACACTTTTCCTCATCTTCCATCCACTTAGGCGTATAAGGCTACATATTTAACAGACCAGTCGGCACTGGGTGCGCAATGTGGTCAGCATCATGCCGCCCATCTTACCTTCCCAAGAGATTACCGGGCACCCATTTAAAGCCGGGTCCACCTGAGAGAAAAGATCATGTTTTTAAAACAGTCCAGCACTGCCAGAACCTGAACCCGGGATGCTTCAATCTGGAAGCAAGTGTCTAGCCACTACACCACAGCAGCTTTGAATAGAGTCTGTATCATAGTATAATTGATATATGTTGTTAAGCCTTTATTTGCTTAACCAAATGGCACTGGCTGGGTTGTGTGGTTATCATTATGCCAGATACCTCATCTCTGCGGATATTTACAGGTCAACATTTGACCTGGCTAGGTTGAACCTAGAGTCATGTGGTAATTTAAAACAATTAAACTGAGACAAATGTCAACTACATGAATTAGTGGAGACAATAAGCAGCTGTCATTGTACAAATTAGTGAACAATGCAACCGATCTTTTAACTAACATAAAAAAGTACGGCATGCATCAGTAAAATTCTATGGACAAATAGATATTAGTAGTTTACCATCGCTTAGTAGAGCTTGTAAATTGATAATGTTGTACAACAAATAGCACTCATTAGCTACAACAAGTGTGTAGTAGTTTATGTGCATGTAAACCAGTTAAGTTACTCCACAAACAGCACATGTTATCCACCAAACACACAGAACTGGTTAGCTACCATAAGAGTGCAGTAATGTATGTGCTTGTAAATAATTATGTTGCACCACACACAGCACTCGTTAGCCACCACAAACAGCACCCATTAGCCACAACAAGAGTGCAGTAATGTATGTGCTTGTAAACGATTATGTTGCAGCACAAATAATACTTGTTAACTACAACAAGAGTGCAGTAACGTATCTATGTCAGCAGTCAGGGGCAGATAATCAAGCACTCACTGAATCCGGCGCAATACTGCAGCAGTGGACACCACAAGATGAAATCTAGAAATGATCCATCAGTTATTATTTTATGAGAAAATCAACATACACGATGAGATAATATTCATGATGGTGGCTCCGAGAGAGGAAAGGTGAAGCAGTTATTTTAGATAAAAATCAATGCACCCAACAGGTCAATATTGAAAATTGTGCCTCTGGCAGAAAAAAGTGAACAGTAACAATTTTATGAGAACATCACCGTACACAATGGGACAATATTTATGATGATGTCTCCTTCTTCTTCTTCTCTTCCACCTTTCACCTCATCGAAGTGTCGGGGGGAAATGTAATGTTCGTTGATGAGCTCTGTCAAGAGCACTTTTAAGACTGATGTTCATTTCTGTAAGTCTGTTCTTAATGCCATCACTCCATCTTTTCTGAGGTCTTCCACTCGCTCTATATCCGTTGTAACGTTTTAGTGTGGCTCGCTGTGGCGGACAGTACCAGGGCATTCTTGTTAGGTGTCCAAACCACTTCATTTGATGTTCTTGGATGACCTATAAGACTGGCTTTATTCCTAGCATTCGTCTGATTTCATGATTTCGTATTCTCGTCTTTCCTTGAAACTCCTGTAGCTCTTCTAAGGCATTTCATCTCTGTTGTCACAATTTTACGTTCATTGGAGATGATGTCTCCAAGAGAGGAAAAGTGAATAGGAATTATTTTGTGATAAAATCAATATACACAATGGGTCGATGTTTATGAAAGAGGAAACATGAGGTTAAAGTAACCATGCATTTAACTAATATTCCACGCCTTTAAAGGTTCTCAAACTTTCAATGGCAAATGCTAAAATTGAAATGACACTGCAACTGAAAAAATGTCAGATAGTTTTAGATTTTAGATAGTTTTTTTTAGATAGTTTCCATATTTTCTTCAGGCTTTTAAAAGCTGCCTTGCTAATGGATATCACAGTTTCTTTCTTTGTATTTCTTTAGCAATTAATATTAAATCGCTACCTTATGAACGGATTTGTTACTTTAATTCCTACTTTAGTTAATTGTTACTGTAGTATGCACCTGACCAGATACAGCGAAATATGCCAGGTAATAAATTGTGCAATCTATTGTTTGTTTCTTCTTTGTTTAAATTTACAATGGGGAAACATTGCTTTGACTTTAATTCCTTTTGTTTCCAGTGTGACATTTGCTTAATATTTTGTTGATGTTTTCAATATATTTGTCTTTTCATAACTAGTTTGAGTTCGACTTTTGATGCAATATTTTCTAAATCATCTTTTATTCTTTTCATGTCCTTGCTGTTCTTACTTAGTAGAACAACATCATCTGTAAAATCAAGAGCCTTCAACTGGACAATATTTAAATACTGTTCTAATATTAAACTAAGATATATGTAGTTTATTTCTTCTTATTATTTTCCTTCTTCTGTCCTTGAAAGGGTGGCTGGCAAGCTGTGTTGTTGTGTATTTCTTAGTTGCATGTCCCAACCTAACACATTAGTTTTCCGCAAAGGACTTTTATGACTTGCTTGCTCAATGTTAAAATGGCAAGGGGAATACTGAAGCCCTAGAGCCCACACAGGGGTGATGACTTTTGAATGAATATCTTTCTATAAGGCACTATGTAACAACAAAGATCTCAGAATATCAGACTACTTTCAGCAAAAGTAAACACAAATATCTTTTTGAACATGATTATACAAAGAAATATTTAAAAAAAAAACCAATCAGTCAATACTTACTTTTGCAAACCTTCATTTAAGACATTTTGTACTGTTGTGTCTGGTTCTTTTTTAGGTCGCCTGCGACTTTCTTTCCCTAATTTATGAGAGGAAACATAAATATGTGTGTATTACAGTATATTTTGTATAAGTGGTATTACTAACACATGACTATCAAATAACAAACTAAAGCATTACAGATGAACAGTATTAACAAAGCAGTAAATGAAACTGTATCTTTAAAAATCAGTAAAAACACAAAAATAAATTAGGCCTGTAAACAAATAAAATCACTGTAAGGGGATGAGGTGGTAATATCAACACAACATTCAGAGTAAATAGAGGACAAGACATCAACTAAGATTTCTTGTTATTTCTTTGCAAAAACTGGCTGTAAACTTTGGCAGAAAGTGCTGACCGTCGGTCCACTTCTTGCTCCAGAACATGAGATTTGCATGCACATCCATTTTACAGATCTGGCTTATCTGTTTGCAGACTGTTGGTTCTTTGCCTATCAGGCAGATGTGCTTAAACTTAAAAAAAATACTCCTAATCATTTGACTTTTACAACATGCTTGTTGGGGGCAGTGAGCCTATCCCCCCCCCCCCTCCCATCCCCTCTCCCCCTCCCATCCCCCCTCCCCCTCCCATCCCCCCACAAACACTAAAACACAATGCGACTTCAGAGGATTCCTCATTTTAACATCATGAATATATAAAAAATTATACACAACAGAAACATTAAACAACAATATATGAAAGAAAACAAGCAAATTAGGATCATTTAAAAAAAAAAATTTTTTTTTACATTTCATAGGGTTTGGTCACTTTATGTCAAACTAAATAAAATACCCATTGTTGGTTAGGCCCGATTTAATGAGCATCCTGTCTTTACATTATGCTGATTTTTTTTTTTTTTTTTTTTATCTTTTCTTTTAATGGTACATGTTGTCAACTAAATACGTACCCCCATTTTTACTATATGTCTTTCCATGCCAACTAAATACGTACCCCCATTTTTACTGTATGTCTTTCCAGCTTTGATGAAAGCAAAGAAACATCTGAAAAATGCTCGAACTACGGACCAGCGTAGAACAGCAACAGGATCAATGCCTGAAGAAAAAAAAAGAAGAAATTTGAATAGATAACCACAATACACTGATCTATACAATAAACATGACTAAGATCACATCTCTCATCCTGCACATAAAATATGATTTAACACTGGCAAGTGTTAAGTAGGCAGAGTTATAAGTAAGAAAGTAGTAAATGATACTTGTCATGCCATTAGCTCTCTGGGCATATGATGCTTGACTTCTCTTTTTATAGACCAATAGGCCCTCAATGAATGGTATGGTCAGCATCACGGTGGCAGCCTTTACTTCCCATGACTGTATCTGTATGGTCAGCATCACGGTGGCAGCCTTTACTTCCCATGACTGTATCTGATACCAAATAATTTTTTTTTTAAATCAAATTTGCTCTTTTTTGGATTGAAACCCAAGACCTTTGTATGCCACACCAGCGTGTGAACATCTAGCGACTAAGCGAATAAGGCTACTTAGAGCTATCCATCTTTCAATAACTACAAACGCCTTATCTACACCCTTATGTGGTCATCCTAGAAACAGGTTCCCTGCATGGGTGCCTGGGCAAAAAAGATAGGACACTTCTATCTGCTATTAGCAAAACAATCTGGCCTGTTGCAACCTCAAGGAAGACAATGTTTTATGGTACACAGGGAGATTCGGACTGCAAGATAGCTTTCATCAAGGCTACCAGCCTCTTGGTATACATTTGCTGACAGAAGGATTGAAGAAGAAGAAGAGGAGGAAGGAAGAAGAAAGAAGAAGAAGAAGAGGAAAGAAGAAGAAAGAAGAAGAAGAAGAAGAAGAAGAAGAGGAAGGAAGAAGAAGAAGAAGAAAAAGAAGAAGAAAAAGAAGAAGAAGAAGAAGAAGAAGAAGAGGAAGGAAGAAGAAAGAAGAAGAAGAAGAGGAAGGAAAGAAGAAGAAGAAGAGGAAGGAAAGAAGAAGAAAAAGAAGAAGAAGAGGAAGGAAGAAGAAGAAGAAGAAAAAGAAGAAGAAAAAGAAGAAGAAAAATAAGAAGAAGAAGAAGAAGAGGAAGGAAGAAGAAAGAAGAAGAAGAAGAGGAAGGAAAGAAGAAGAAGAAGAGGAAGGAAAGAAGAAGAAGAAGAAGAAGAAGAAGAAGAAGAAGAAGAAGAGGAAGAAGAAGCAGCAGCAGCAGCAGCAGCAGCAGCAGCAGCAGCAGCAGAAGGATTAGAGAAGGAGAAGAAGAAGAAGGAGGAGGAGGAGAAGAAGAAGTTTCTTTGAAAGTCCATCTCGTAACTTATCTATTATTATTTTCTCATTTGTCCTAATTCCTCTGCTGATCTGCCTGAAAGGCAAGAAACCAACATTCTGCATACACAGCCAGTGAATGCAGAATAATAATGTGCTAACTTTGGAGTTTTTACCCTTACCAATCCTATTCAGCAATTCAGCAGTGTTATCCATTTTAACTCTTTGAGTCCCAGAGGGTTTAGCATCACAGGCCTAAGGGGTAGTCAAAAGAGACTAAAATCGGCGCAATATCCGTTCAATGGGCTTCTATGCAGTAACCTATTAACGTATGATGCGTTCCTTGGGACTCAAAGAGTTAAGCTTATTCCTTCCATGGGTTAACACTGATCCTACGAAATATCTCTGACATGAAAACTGTACCCACCCATCAATTCCCTGACAAAAGTAAGGCTGCTTTTCTTCAGTGTAGCTACAATCTCTGGTCGAACCAAGTCCAGGTTCTTCTCACGGAAATCCTGAAATGGAAGGACATTATAGACCAAACAGTACAGACTAAAGAAATATGTAACTGCACAGCAGGCACAAAACAATTATCAAGATGCAAAACATGCAATGACATCAATGTGAATTACTATATGAGAAGTATTGCACTTAACCCTATAACATGTTTGGAGAATGTCACTCATAGAATATGTCCGAAATAATATTAGTACAATCAACTCATTTGTTGAACTAATATCTTTCTCACAGGACCTACAGATATGAGGGGTCAGCAAATGTATCTTATGAAGAAAACACCCCACCCCCCCCCCCCCCCCCCACTTTCTCTCTATGTCTTTGTATGTGTGTGTATAAAAGAGAGAGAGTGAGAGAGGAGGAGAGAGACAGACAGATGAGTGAGTGAGGAGGTGGGTGAGTGAGTGAGTGAGTGAGTGAGTGAGTGAGTGAGTGAGTGAGTGAGTGAGTGAGTGAGTGAGTGAGTGAGTGAGTGAGTGAGTGAGTGAGTGAGTGAGTGAGTGAGTGAGTGAGTGAGTGAGTGAGTGAGTGAGTGAGTGAGTGAGTGAGTGAGTGGGTGGGTGGGTGATTGGGAGTGAGTGCATGTATGTCTAAGTTTGCACAAGTGTATGTAAATAATGTGTAACAGGTGAGAATATGTAATTATGAAGAAAGAAAAAAAGGTTCAAGATGTACAAAAGAGAGAAGAGAAGGGGGAGTAAGAGCAAAAGGATGTGTCTTGACATTACAGGTGTGTCTCACTGGCCTACAGTGTGTAGGATATCTACAGATGTTTTACTGGCTATATAAAAACAGCCAAAGTCAACATGAAACCAGACATGCTATCAGATCAGCCACAGTCACTCCTATCAAACTCAGGCATACCTTGACAAAGTACTTGACTCTCCCAGCATAGTGCATAATACTGAATGCTCCTTCTTTCAGCTGAGACACTTGGTAATGGGGGTTGCCCTTTTGATGGTGTGTGAATTTGATTAGCAAAGTTTCATTGGTAGCCGCTGGAAAACTGGTAACAACAAAACAAAGTTAAATGTTAAATTCATATGAAGTATAGTTAGTAAAGAAATGTACAGCAAAAGACCATTGTCATGTCTTTAGGAGCATCAGGAATGTGATGTTAGCCCTGAATTTTTATACATGAATTGGCACAAAATTTATGATAAAGTCAACGTCTGTAGGTCGCTTTTACTTCCCAGGATAATTTTAGGCACATAGTTTAGACAGCCTAAACATACCCCAGGCAATCCCCATTTTAAAAATGTTGGCCTTTAGTAAATTTGAGTTGACAGCCCTGCGCTAGGCCATAATATTTAAGGTGAGGTGGCCAGTTTCCTTCTACATCCCCATTCTTTCCGAGACTTTTACACAAAATTATAAAGATTGTCCAGCCCTCATTTTCATTAGGTAGGTACAATTTAACCATTTTGCTGCTATGGACATGTTGAGTCGTTTACCCGGAGACTGCTATTACGACTGACTTAACCCATATTAAACTTTCTGTGCTCTCATCGCTATAAAGGAGAAAACACATTTCAACTTTCCTTACAGACTGCTAAGGACAGTTATTCTCGGGGGTCAAAGGGCAATATATCGTTGCCATATATGGATTCCAATCACCCATTTACATACAATTAAACAACACTCTATCACATGCATTTACGTTAGTAGGACGGTGATTATATTATCATGTTTTTTTTTGTTTTTTTTTTACCCTTGACATGTGGTTGGTAGTGATCTGAATTTTTTTTTTTTTTTTAATGTGTTAATCTTAGTCTACATATTGTTTTTTTTTTTTTTAAATGGCAAGAAAACCATTTAAAGCTGATGAAGAACTACTGAAGTTGATTTCAAAGAGTGACCGTCAAGATGACTTTAAAAAATCTCGTAAATCAGAAAGCGATCCCCCACCTCCTTAGGGTTTATATTTTTAGGTCTAAAAAGAATAGTCAGCACTGCTAACACGTTTTTTGGTTTTGGAGGATAGACAAATATTCATCACAGGATAAAGGATCAAAACTGACATTATTTAGCACAGTGGTACATTCCTCCTGTGGGGTATGTAGCAGAAAAAGAGTTAAAGATGTGTCCAAATGGGACATAAATGATAAAGATATTGAGGTAGACTCTGAACAAATTGCCATGCACCCTGTTGCGTGGAGAAAGGGTATCAGGAAGGAAATTGGATTAAGGAACTGAGCGTCTGAGAAGATGCACATTAAATACATGTGATGGCAGTAACGGTCCTGAAATCACATGCTCTAATCATGGAAGACTTTTCATAACACGGGCTGGCTTTACTGGTCACACTTGTCATTGTCATGGGCTGTGGTTCCTATGGCTCCCAAAAGCACAATATATTTGTCTGAAAAGGTAGGAAAATGGACCAGCATAAAGAATAATTATCGTGCTAATCTGTGACCCTTTGGCAACTAAGCTCATGTGTTTGGCCTCAGAGCCTCAGTGGTCAAGGAAAAACATTCCTGTCACAGCCAGGGATTGGACCATTAGCTTGGCAGCTGGCAAACTAACTATGATGCCACCTGTGTCACAAGTAAAATATTAGTAACATCCCAATATAGGACAAAATGTGTTTTTTTTTTTTTTTTTCAAAGCCCCACACTGGCATTTCTCAGTGACCCTTATAAAACCTAACATTGAACTGGATTTCTTGAATTTATGCCCGAATGTTGAATGTGGAATAAGGAATCAACATCACAGCATCACTCAGGACACCCCCATAAGCGCTCTGTCTCCATCTTCAGCAGCAAGGGAAGAGTTAGAATTTCGATGGTACTAGTAACTGTCTGATCGTATATCCATCTCACCTTTCCCCTGAGTGTCTAGAGTCGGCCAGATCCCAGTGTTACTCCTCACAGTGCCATTCTCCTCAGTGCCCAAGTGATTCTCATCCTAATGGGGGGCACTTTGTATCATCAGGTGTTTATCGCTCGTTGGGGTTGAACTTCATTAATTCAATCATTACAGTTAGAGAGATGGGAAAACATTTTAGACAGCTCTAAGACTTTACCTGCACTCTTCATCCAACAAACAGAATAGCCCTCCCGGACGTTTAGAGAACAACTCTAGACTGCCGGTGTTGTCAATAAACTCGATATTTTTCCAGTGGATGCCTTCTCTCTGATATTCTTCCTGTGAATAAAACAATGGTATTTTACTGACATATGATAGTACCGGATCAAATCTGAATGTACAGACAGATTATGAAATCTTATCAATTTTATCTCTCCATTTCTCTAAAAGGAATATATTTATTAGGTTTTTACTGTTTCACATGGTGTACCTTACATAATATTGGTATTTTACACAGATGAGTTGGGAAGAATCAGCGTGAGCAACTGACATGCAATCTGCCATGATGCTGCTAAAGGTTGGGGTCAAAACATACCAGGCTAACGAAGAAAAACACATGTGAATAACATGACACTAAAACTCAAGAGAACAAAGAAATATAGAAATTAGCTGTGGCTACTCATGAACTTTGTTTTGTGCCAGTTGTTCACTAGCAAATGAGATATATACAAAGTTGGAAAAGAATGGATTAGTCCCGACACTTAAAAGACAGAGATGTAATTCACTATTAAAAAATTTAACACTATTGCCTCAAGAAGACTACACCTGGCCACTTTCAGTAGTGACAGAGCCGTAGATGCACACAGATCGCTATTTCTGCAGTGACCAGTTCTCAAAAAGTGTTGTTAAATGCTACTGGTTTTATGTGTGCCTGCTTAGTTTTTAGGAGGCCCTGATGTGATTATGTGAGCTAAATATAGCTTTAGAGGGGTTTCCTTGTAAATCCAAGTGGTTCTATTCTTGTTTTCCCCACAAAGGGGCCTTGGAACCCACACTCTTTGCATATGTTCACTGTAGTCTCAAGGAGCAACTGTCCAAGTCTTTAAATTGCTGGACTCTCATTTGGCAGAATCAAGTTGGAATTCTCTTTAAGATGATGAAAGTTTTTTTGTTTCTGTTAGGGGCAACAACATCCTAACATGTTCAGTTCACGGTGACTGTAGTAGCCTTGTGGCCTGAACCCTTTCACAGCGTATATATCTTTTGCAAAACTGATATTTTTGGGAATTTCAGTGAAAAGAAATATCTTGTTATATCGTGATCCTTTGGAAATAAAGTTTGTTTGTTTGTTCTCTGAAACTTGAAAGATACGAAGGGAAGAAAAGAACATAAGAAATTTGGAATCCTGGTTAAAAAAAAATGTTTCCCCTTAAATTCCGGGGTTAAAGCCTATAACCCTCTGATCTGAATAGCATGCCTGCTAGCTACTGCACCATCACCATCACACACACACCCCCCCCCCCCCCCACATCCAAGCCAATAAAAAGATGGGTTCCTCTTTCATATTTTAGATGTGACATGGGTTGTTTTTTTTTTTTTTTTTTTAATAAGGTAAATAGTCATAGATACAGAAAAGAATTAACCACTTTCCTTCTCTCAGACTTTAAAAAAAAAAAGAAGTGGTTTTGTTGACACAACAAGAGAAAAAAGCGACACTAAATAATATCTCTACAATAAAATTTTCTAAATATAATCCTACCCAATATGTCTACACACTACCAGTACTAAAGCTACTATACAGAAGCAGTGGTCACTGTGCAAATACGTCATGTCATTTGTTTTAAAACCGCAAAAGTCGCAAAACCAGCCCTCTCAGGGCAGCAGGCTTAATAAACCTTCAAGAGCCCTATTCTACATCAATGTAACAAGAGATGAATAAAGGCAGTAAAGACAAAATTAAAATGTAGTATCTCTCTCTTACTTTGTCCCCTGTATTATTTCTCCCCTTTCTATGGCCACTAGTGTATCAGACAACACAACCTGCTACTAAATATGTCTCACAGAAAAATATGATCAAAGTATTGCTGTACCTGCTCAAACCTGAATATATGTTGGTTGAAATAGTACTGCAAATGTTCATTGGCGTAATTAATGCAGAACTGTTCAAAACTGTTGTGACCAAAGTCTTCAAATCCAAAAATGTCAAGCACCCCAATGGAGTCACCCTCATGCTCGGAGTCATGCTTCTTCGCTAGGAGAGCCTGGTTGACTTTTAAGACGATCCAGTCGAAGAGTGCCCCATAGATACACTTGGCCATGGCATCACGAGTTGCTACTGCCTGAAAATTCAATATGTATGGTTACTATTTTATATCATGTTTAACAGGGTTTGTTCATTAATTTTTTTTTTTTAAAGATAATAACAGAATGATGATTATAACAGATAAATGGGATCCACAGGTGCTAAACCATGTGTGTTAATGCTAAACCGCATGTGCCAGTGCTAAACCATGTGTGTTAGTGACAAAATACATGTGCCGGTGCTAAAATATGTGTGTTAGTGCTAAACCACATGTGCCGGTGCTAAACCACATGCACCGATGCTAAACCTCATGTGCAAGTGCTAAACCACATGTCTCAGTGCACGGGGACCAGGGTTCATACAGGTCAAGACGTGTCTACACTTCTGTGTGGTCATTCAAGACACAGGTTACCATCCTAGGGCCTGGCTAAAATAGAACAGATGTAGATACATGTAGATGTTTGCTTCAGTCAGAATGCAACTGTCTGCGCACATATAAGCTAGACTGGTAAAATGGATGCACACACAAAAACACAAGTCCTGGAATGAGACCACAAAGTCTAGATGCCGATGAAAAAACAGAACTTTCCACCAGAGTTCACAGTAAATGTCAAGAAGATGAAGGAATAAAGGGGAAGAGTGAAAGGAGGAGGAAGGGAAGGAAATGGAAGAGAACAAGAAGATTACAGATAAACAGCAGTTGAAATAATTGGAAACTACAAACAATCTCTAATAAGCTAATACAAATCAAACAACCATACAAAAGCAAACAATCTCAACTCAAAAGATCTAAAAAGTAATGAAGGACTCACATCATCCATCTTGTAATTGATCACAAATGTTTCATCTCCTGCAGTGGTTTTCTTCTGTGTCAGTGCCTCCAAGACATACCTCTCCTTCACCTGTTTCAAACATCATATACCTCTATTAGTAGGCTCAACATTTTACAATTCTAATTATCTGATTATCTGCCATTGGTAGTGTCATGAACAAGTGAGAAGCCTCATCAGCTGTCCCAGGGGTCAGTCCCAGAACAGCTGAACACATCTCAGGTTCATTGCGTATCCTTTACAGGACGTTGCAGAACCAACCCCAGCAGCCCCTGGCTGTTGTGTGGTTTCTCTAGACAAATTTACATCCAGTAGTTTGCCACTGCTTTCTGGACAGTCGGCTTCTTGATACCACTGTTGAAACCAATGCAAGGTGCATGGTCCACAGCTGGAATTGAACCTGGCACCCAGGCATTACGAAGCGTTCGCATCGACCTAGCCACAGAGCCGACGAACACATCTACATACACAGATTTGTAGCCTTCCCCTTCTGTTGGCCAGATGTAATAACAATATCAGATGATTTTTTTCTGACCTTATTGTTGTAAGTACACTTACTGTGTGACAGGAGAGTATGTGTTGTTACCTGTGGTAACTGTCTCTCCACTAGCAGTGCTTGTATGTGTTTTGGTAACTGTCTCTCCACCAGCAGTGTGTGTTTTAGTAACTGTCTCTACACCAGCAGTGTGTGTTTTGGTCACTGTCTCTCCAACAGGAGTGTGTTTTGTAATTGTCTCTAAACTAGCAGTGCTTGTGTGTGTTTTGGTAATTGTCTCTACACCAGCAGTGCATGTGTGTGTTTTGGTAATTGTCTCTACACTAGCAGTGCTTGTGTGTGTTTTGGTAATTGTCTCTACACTAGCAGTGCTTGTGTGTGTTTTGGTAATTGTCTCTAAACTAGCAGTGCTTATGTGTGTTTTTGTCACTGTCTCTCCAACAGCGTGCTTGTGTGTGTTTTGGTAACTGTCTCACCACCAGCAGTGTGTGTTTTGGTAATTGTCTCTACACCAGCAGTGCTTGTGTTTTGGTAATTGTCTCTACACCAGCAGTGCTTGTGTTTTGGTAATTGTCTCTACACCAGCAGTGTGTGTTTTGGTAATTGTTTCTCCACCAGCAGTGCTTGTGTTTTGGTAATTGTCTCTCCACTAGCAGTGTGTGTTTTGGTAATTGTCTCTCAACTAGTAGTGTGTGTTTTGGTAATTGTCTCTCCCCTAGCAGTGTGTGTTTTGGTAACTGTCTCTCCACTAGCAGTGTGTGTTTTGGTAATTGTCTCTCCACTAGCAGTGTGTGTTTTGGTAATTGTCTCTACACTAGCAGTGTGTGTTTTGGTAATTGTCTCTCCACCAGCAGTGTTTTTTGGTAATTGTCTCTACACCAGCAGTGTGTGTTTTGGTAATTGTCTCTACACTAGCAGTGTGTGTTTTGGTAATTGTCTCTCCACCAGCAGTGCTTGTGTTTTGGTAATTGTCTCTACACTAGCAGTGTGTGTTTTGGTAATTGTCTCTACACCAGCAGTGCTTGTGTTTTGGTAATTGTCTCTCCACTAGCAGTGTGTGTTTTGGTAATTGTCTCTACACCAGCAGTGCTTGTGTGTGTTTTGGTAATTGTCTCTCCACTAGCAGTGTGTGTTTCGGTAATTGTCTTTACACCAGCAGTGTGTGTTTTGGTAATTGTCTCTACACCAGTAGTGCTTGTGTTTTGGTAATTGTCTCTCCACTAGCAGTGTGTGTTTTGGTAATTGTCTCTCCACCAGCAGTGTGTGTTTTAGTAACTGTCTCTACACCAGCAGTGTGTGTTTTGGTCACTGTCTCTCCAACAGGAGTGTGTTTTGTAATTGTCTCTAAACTAGCAGTGCTTGTGTGTGTTTTGGTAATTGTCTCTACACCAGCAGTGCATGTGTGTGTTTTGGTAATTGTCTCTACACTAGCAGTGCTTGTGTGTGTTTTGGTAATTGTCTCTACACTAGCAGTGCTTGTGTGTGTTTTGGTAATTGTCTCTAAACTAGCAGTGCTTATGTGTGTTTTTGTCACTGTCTCTCCAACAGCGTGCTTGTGTGTGTTTTGGTAACTGTCTCACCACCAGCAGTGTGTGTTTTGGTAATTGTCTCTACACCAGCAGTGCTTGTGTTTTGGTAATTGTCTCTCCACTAGCAGTGTGTGTTTTGGTAATTGTCTCTACACCAGCAGTGTGTGTTTTGGTAATTGTCTCTACACCAGCAGTGTGTGTTTTGGTCACTGTCTCTACACCAGCAGTGCTTGTGTTTTGGTAATTGTCTCTCCACTAGCAGTGTGTGTTTTGGTAATTGTCTCTCCACCAGCAGTGCTTGTGTTTTGGTAATTGTCTCTACACCAGCAGTGCTTGTGTTTTGGTAATTGTCTCTCCACCAGCAGTGCTTGTGTTTTGGTAATTGTCTCTCCACCAGCAGTGCTTGTGTTTTGGTAATTGTCTCTCCACTAGCAGTGTGTGTTTTGGTAATTGTCTCTACACCAGCAGTGTGTGTTTTGGTAATTGTCTCTACACCAGCAGTGCTTGTGTTTTGGTAATTGTCTCTACACTAGCAGTGTGTGTTTTGGTAATTGTCTCTCAACTAGTAGTGTGTGTTTTGGTAATTGTCTCTCCACCAGCAGTGCTTGTGTTTTGGTAATTGTCTCTCCACTAGCAGTGTGTGTTTTGGTAATTGTCTCTACACCAGCAGTGTGTGTTTTGGTAATTGTCTCTACACCAGCAGTGCTTGTGTTTTGGTAATTGTCTCTACACTAGCAGTGTGTGTTTTGGTAATTGTCTCTACACTAGCAGTGTGTGTTTTGGTAATTGTCTCTCAACTAGTAGTGTGTGTTTTGGTAATTGTCTCTCCCCTAGCAGTGTGTGTTTTGGTAACTGTCTCTCCACTAGCAGTGTGTGTTTTGGTAATTGTCTCTCCACTAGCAGTGTGTGTTTTGGTAACTGTCTCTCCACCAGCAGTGTGTGTTTTGGTAATTGTCTCTACACCAGCAGTGTGTGTTTTGGTAATTGTCTCTACACTAGCAGTGTGTGTTTTGGTAATTGTCTCTCCACCAGCAGTGCTTGTGTTTTGGTAATTGTCTCTACACTAGCAGTGTGTGTTTTGGTAATTGTCTCTACACCAGCAGTGCTTGTGTTTTGGTAATTGTCTCTCCACTAGCAGTGTGTGTTTTGGTAATTGTCTCTACACCAGCAGTGCTTGTGTGTGTTTTGGTAATTGTCTCTCCACTAGCAGTGTGTGTTTCGGTAATTGTCTTTACACCAGCAGTGTGTGTTTTGGTAATTGTCTCTACACCAGTAGTGCTTGTGTTTTGGTAATTGTCTCTCCACTAGCAGTGTGTGTTTTGGTAATTGTCTCTACACCAGCAGTGTGTGTTTTGGTAATTGTCTCTACACCAGTAGTGTTTGTGTTTTGGTAATTGTCTCTCCACTAGCAGTGTGTTTTGGTAATTGTCTCTCCACTAGCAGTGTGTGTTTTGGTAATTGTCTCTACACCAGTAGTGTTTGTGTTTTGGTAATTGTCTCTCCACTAGCAGTGTGTGTTTTGGTAATTGTCTCTCCACTAGCAGTGTGTGTTTTGGTAATTATCTCTCAACTAGCAGTGTGTGTTTTGGTAACTGTCTCTCCACCAGCAGTGTGTGTTTTGGTAATTGTCTCTCAACTAGTAGTGTGTGTTTTGGTAATTGTCTCTCAACTAGCAGTGTGTGTTTTGGTAATTGTCTCTCCCCTAGCAGTGTGTGTTTTGGTAATTGTCTCTCCACTAGCAGTGTGTTTTGGTAATTGTCTCTCCCCTAGCAGTGTGTGTTTTGGTAATTGTCTCTCCCCTAGCAGGGTGTGTTTTGGTAATTGTCTCTCCACTAGCAGTGTGTGTTTTGGTAATTGTCTCTCCACTAGCAGTGTGTGTTTTGGTAATTGTCTCTCCACCAGCAGTGTGTGTTTTGGTAATTGTCTCTCAACTAGCAGTGTGTGTTTTGGTAACTGTCTCTCCACCAGCAGTGTGTGTTTTGGTAATTGTCTCTCAACTAGTAGTGTGTGTTTTGGTAATTGTCTCTCCACTAGCAGTGTGTGTTTTGGTAATTGTCTCTCCACTAGCAGTGTGTGTTTTGGTAATTGTCTCTCCCCTAGCAGTGTGTGTTTTGGTAATTGTCTCTCCACTAGCAGTGTGTGTTTTGGTAATTGTCTCTCCCCTAGCAGTGTGTGTTTTGGTAATTGTCTTTCCACTAGCAGTGTGTGTTTTGGTAATTGTCTCTCCACTAGCAGTGTGTGTTTTGGTAATTGTCTCTCCACTAGCATTGCTTGTGTGTGCTTTGGTAACTGTCTCTCCACTAGCGGTGCTTGTGTTGATGTGTTGATTGTAGGTTGCTCATAGTCACATGCTTTTTGCTGTCACCTGTGTGTGGCACTGCATTTGTGGCCAAGGTTCTACTGAGGCAAACAATCACTGATATTGTGAACATCATTAAGACAGCAAATGTTGAAACACTAAAAATTGCACAAGTTTGATCTATTATCAAACCACTAGGAAAATACATCCCTTCAAATGTGACCGGGAGTCGCCATGGTTTTGTGCTAGACGCTCGCCTGCTGATTGGAAGGTTGTGGGTTTAGATCCTGATGGATTTTTTTTAAATGGCAGTGGCTTCCATATGCAGTCCTGGGAAGTAAAGGCGGTCGACGTGATTCTGACCATAATACCCACCAAGTGCCAATTGGTCTATAAAATATAGATCCAGCCCTATATGCCCAATATGCCTGGAAAAGGGTCCTTTACTTACTTTTTAAATGTGACCAAAAAGTTTAACCTTCTGTTGTTGCTCAATTCTATATTAGCATCTGTTCATAACACTTGGTGCAATGTAAGCTGCTACTGCTTTTTTCTTGTGATCGCTCTCACCAACAGATGAGTTCTTATGATAAAATTGACTGTTTTTTAGGAGTTTTCTTGTAGTTCCAATCAACTTTAAGTAAGGTATTAACTCACTGGGCCAGTTTCCCTTCTTAATGGGTTGTACAGAGGCCATTTCTTCGCAGAACATGTTCTGCAGTCTGCACAAACACACAGCCCATATGGGCACAATAGTGAACTACTTAGATGGTGAAGGGGGCTAACTTCACTCCTCATGTATGATCGCATGCCGTGCTGCTAGTTCGGTAAGTGGTGGGGAACACTGTGTAATTTTACTTGAATAAAAAATGTCTAATCCATTCTTAGCACAATCTACTTGCCACATAGTCATAATCATAAAAAATGGCTTATAAGTGGATCTTACCAATAGAGATGACAGATAATTTATTTTTTATAATTGTAGGCTATCTTCCTAATCCATAAATCTTCCTAATCCATAAATCTTCCTAATCCATAAATCTTCCTAATCCATAAATCTTCTTAATCCATAAATCTTCCTAATCCATAAAAAGGAGCAGTGAGGAATATAAACATATAGCAGACGGCAATAAGAAAGTGAATAAGATTTAATAATCAAAATCAACACAGGACAAAATGGGTTCACATCCATTGAACAAACCCAAGACAGGAGTAACTGATGCCTTAATTTAGAACTTGCAAACTGGCAGGAAAACCATCTGATTCAGGAGTGAAAAATATCTGAGAAACTGGGACTATTAAATGATGAAAAAGAAGATGATGATGATGATGACGATGATAAACCAAAAGGAAAAGGCTTTAGCAGTCCAAATGTTGAATTAAGAATCAACATCAAAGCACTCAGGACACCCCCACAAGCCCTCTGTGCCCATCTTCAGCAGCAAGCAAAGATAGCAGTCAGAAAAACATGCAGCCTTCCTTGTAATCTACCCAGCTGAACACTGTAAACTGGTGACTGATTTATATATATATAAATGTATTTAAAACAACCAACCTTCAGCAGTTTAGAGATGATTTGGATTGATTCCATATTCTTCACCATCACAGACTCATCATGGTGCTTGTCTCCTTTCTGTGAACAGCCACCAAAGAAACAAGAGTCATTGCTATTTGTGTCAACAAAATTGTTAGTTTCACCACATTTGTTACATGTTTTTAGAAACAAGTAAAGGTAAAGTTGGGAGGTGTGAACCATCGTCATTGCACAAGGTTATGAACCATAAGTGCTCTGCCACCAGTAAGGACAGCTGATAGGAAACTGTCCGCCTGTGTCACCATCTGCACGCAACTAACTCTGTAGCTACAGTGACGTTTCTCCATTTACCCCTGAGTGTTAACTTTGGTACCTATTACCTAGAGGCTGGATAAACCCCGGAAACCGGCGTAGGCTGCAGCGAGTCGCAGCTGGATTTGAAAGTGAATCTTTTATCGACTGCGATAATGCGACAGGAAAGCTCCCTTTTCCCGCCTTGGGCGCATCGGGCATATGGGAAAGGCACCCAATATTTTTACAGACCAATCAGCACTAGTTGGGTAATGTGGTCAGCATTACACCGGTCGTCTTTACTTCCCCAGAACATCCGTCCTGGTACCCATTTTAGGCTGGTGGGTCGACCTGAGACACCCCATACCATGATAAAAATCCACAAAGCCAGCAGTGGGTTCTTATCGCGGTATGTTGGATTTACGAGTCGGGCTCACAATGCCTAGGCCACAGCTGCCACGATTTGAGAAACAAGAGTGACTGTTATGTTTGTCCACTAAATCTGCTGTTTAACTTAATCTGTTTAATAAATTTTGCTGTGCACCTGCATACAACCAGGTAGTAGAACTTCATGGAGGAGCAAACACAACAGGAGTCTTGCAATCGTCAGAAGAGGTCCCTCTTCCTGACACTCTCTAGGAACGAGCCAACCTGGGTTGCAACTCCCGGGTTTTGTTCTCCTGCTGTGCGGCTGAGTCTTGCCAATCCTAAGGAACATGCAGGTTTACCGCAGATTACCATGTGTTCTTCGCCCTAGCCTTAACTAGTACCAACAGGGACGGGGGGAGGGGGGGGGGGGGAATTCTTGAATTCCAAGGGGATCATGAGTTATCTTTTTAGTTGTTCCTGGGACGAGAGAGTTACAACTGTCTACACCCAAGCGTGTGTACCTTAAAGTAACAATGTTTCCATCTTGATGGATTACAGAAGTTTGACCATGGGATGGATCACAAAAACAGAAGAGTGGGACAAAAGAAGTAAAGAGTTAGTTACAAAATACTAAGCAATCAATAAACATACTCTGAGTATTCTGACACTGAAAATGCCACAACCTAATATGTTTTCAATGAATCAATTCAAATACTCACTTTTTTAAACTCTACATTGCCTAGATGGAGAACTGCTGACAAAACACTGAAGATTCTGGAATAGATACACAGTAACATTATGCCTAAAAACTAATGAACTGAACAAACAAACAGTCAAAAAAGAATACCCATGCATACTGCAATAGGCAATATACAAGATGGTGTACAAGACATAAAATCCTCACTAACATCACAAATGCATATACAACAAAACCTTACATTCATCAAAACCTCATAGCTACCAAAGCCTTATATTTATCAAAACCTTACAGTCACCAAAACCTTACATTCATCTAAAGCTTATAGTCAGAAAAACCTTACATTCATCAAAACTATACAGTCACTAAAATCTTACATTCATCAAAACTTTACAGTTACCAAAACCTTATATCCATGAAAACTGTACAGTCACCAAAATCTTTCATTCATTAATACATTACAGTCATCAAAACTTTACCTTGGCCAAACCTTAAAAGCATCAAAACTTTACATTTGCCAAATCATTACATTCACCAAAACCTTACATTCACGAACACTTTTAACAGACATAAAAACTTTGCATTCACCAAAATCTCAGTCACTAAAACCATAACAGTCACCCAAACTTTACTGTTACCAAAAAATTACAAACATTAAAACCTTACAAATACAAAACCTTACAGACATCAAGAGCCCACAGACATAACATACATACAGACAATACAACCTCTCAGACAAACCTTATAGACAGACAACACAATGTTACAAAACCAAACCACTCAAAAAACTATGAGACAAAGCTCATACAGCTGCTTACTTTCTCTGTGTCTCCTGGGAGAATCCGACCATCTCCATGGACTGTTTGAGCCTGGCAAACTCATGCTGTTCATCAACCCCTTCCACACTGTAGCAGGCACTCTGCAATAGACCACCAATATTCACATGCTATACCCACAAGTGTACTGACTACTGGGTTCTACACATATTTCAGTAAAAGAGAAAATGTTTCAGACTGATATATCTACCAGGCAGTAACATACAAACAAAAACATCCAAACTGTGAGGGCAACTTGTAATTTGAACACTCATAATGTATGACTTCTTCTTCTTCTCCTCCTATGTTATCATCATCATCATCATCGTCATAAACTTATGCTGTTAAGCGTCATGGAGAGAAACAATTTGCAATCCAGTGCACTCTGGCTGGCACTGCCTATTATCCTGCTGTGAAACCAGGGCTAGTCAATATCGTCAACAAGTTAACTCGGGGGCCAAATTACTGAAAATTAGGATCATCGCGGCCAGAAGCACTGGCCTCAGCACAGAAATACCATTATACAACTGGTAATGATCCGCGGGCCACTTGCTAGGCCTCCGTAGGCCAGATTTGGCCTGCGGGCCACCAGTCGAATAACCTTGGCATAAAGTGTTTTTAATGTTGGTGATCCATATTTTTCATGGCCGTCTCATTGCTCTTGTAGCTGATCTTCTGAGATGCCGTGCCTGTGATGATATTGGATATTGCTGCATTCTAATGAGATGATCAAACCACTTGATCCGCTGTTTCTCAATGAATCTAGTACATGGTGTCATTCCCACAATCATCTGATAGTATAATTATTCCTTCAATCTCAAATGGTTACGCTGGCAGTTTTTCTAAGGCATCTCGTAAGTGGTGATTCTTCATACACAGACCTTAGAAATGTCCATGTTTGACATTGGTAGCTTAAAATTGGTATGAATATGTTGTTTATAATCTGTTACTCATAGTTATGATTGGATGCCCCTTAATGGGATGGTTTGCAGTATTTGCTGTTATTTACAGCTAGGTTGCAATATCTCCGCCTTTTGGTCCCAAATATCCAATTGCAGCAAACCATTAGTCAACATTTATTCATGCTTCTTGAGGGGAAGCGGATCTGATGTAATCAGCTCTGGAGTCAGTGATTGGAGTGTCTGACCTGGTCATGAACAGCCTGTCACAGATGTTATAAGAAAGACAGTTACAAGACAATGTGATTGGTTACTGTAAATGTCTATCATATTTAAGAGCTGTTCATCTGAAACGCTTTCGTATATAATGGTTGTTTCATCCTTGGTGTCTGCTGTAAAACCTTGAGATTGACAGGATTAACTTTTTCTTACTGTCTGCAAGTAGAACTCACAAACATTCTGGCACACAACAACAAAATGCCAGTCTTGTTCGCATTTCGACACAGTTGCTAGAACTGCAACATCATGGATGTGAGAAAGATAACAACAGTATTTCTAGAAATCTGAATGCTGCTAAGAAAAGTGTTACTTTTCTTAACGTTGAGTTCCATGCCTCTTCATAGCACAATATACTTTTATCTGGAAAATCGTTACTTGATATAAAAAAAAAAATTTTTTTTTCCTCAAGTATCTAGAAACCACGAATTGTTATTAACCTTTGGGCTCGGTACTATGGATATCGCAACCCTTCGGCCTTGATTCCATGATAGGTACCGTAAATCTGGGGAAAATGTAGCTTTTTCTGCCTACCCCCGGGCGTGAACCCAGACCACAAGAAGTGCGTCACCATGTCGCCGTGAAGTCAGCTTTAACCAACTTCACTAGCGAGCCAGGCAAATATATTTTTTTTTAATGAAATTAAGGCAACACGGCATGTTGCAGGTTACTCTTGAGGAGATCGGAGCATCTGTGGACCAGTCCAGAATATTGTGATGATCACCTCATCTCATCTTGATCCTGATGTACCTTGCGGTGTTGAGGCCAAGCATCATTTACAGTAAAGTGCTTCATAAATGATGAGTCCCAAGAACTCTGTTATTCCCTCTATCCATCGTTTGCATGGCCTGCCTCTAAACCGCTTCCAACCTCATCTGTACATCATTGCTTGTTGTGGTTTACTGTTATCACCAGCGTATAGAGCCAAACCATTTCACTCCTTTTCTAATGAGATGTGATGATATTCCTCATTGATCACCCCCCCCCCCCCCCCCCCCAGAAACTATCTGGTTTGATGATAGCTGAATGAAACTCAAAGATAAATATCAGCAGTGGAGGTTAAACTGTACCTTTGAAAGGTAATGATACTGATCAGCAGCCACCAAATGGAACAGTTCCCTCTCTCGTTCATCAGCCCCGGCCAACAAATAGTAGAAAACATGATAGTTCCTGGCAGAAAGACAAAAGAAAATCAATCACGTCATTAATTGTGATTATAATGTGTCAGTCTTCTTCTTAGTTCATCCTTAAAGAGGTTGTTAGTATATTATGCTGTTGTTTACAGCTAGGCTATGATATCTGTGCCTTTCTGTCCTATTCATACCTGCCTATTTAGTCACCATTTACTACACTATGCTTGTTAACTCTTTCAGTCCCAGCATCAGAGACCCAAGAGGTAGTTAAGAGAGACAAAATTGGCATATCTTGTGCTCACTGGGCTTCTAGCTAGTAACCCATGAGCATATGATGCATTCCTTGGTACTAGAAGCGTTAAGGGGCAGTTGCTCTGCTGCTCTATTCCCCTCCCCCCACCCCTAACCACAAATATGGGGATAACTGTCTCAATTAATCTATAAAACATACAGGCATAAATGATTTACTAGACATTTCAAGAGAGAAAAAAAAATGAACATTGTAGCAAAAAAACATATCAAAAGCAAATAAAACAATATTTATACAAAAAATAGGAGAAAAATAAATGTATATACCTGCAAACATGCATACAAATTTGGAAAGTAGGAATATGAGAGAAGAAACCAAATTACCAAGTCAGCATTGCTGAAGCACATACAGATCATTGCGGTCAGGGAAGAACGGAGCAGCGAAGAGTGACAAGAAGGACTAGTGTCAATACTCAGAGGAAAGACAAGACTTATATACATTCAGATTGTTACTTGTGCCATTAGAGCTGGAACTCTGGGCTGGTTGCTGAGAATAGGGATTGGGCGCTGATGAGAATGTCCCTAAAGCTGTGAAGTTAAATTCTTAACTCAACTCATCTCAGCTCCATTTATCTGGCACTGATCAACATTCATGCACAATCTCAAAATACAGCCCTATTCTTGCCTACACTAATTTACCTTGTCAACCGATAAACATACTGCCCTCATCGAGCTTACACTAATTTACCTTGTCAACGGATGAACATACTGCCCTCATCGAGCTTACACTAATTTACCTTGTCAACGGATGAACATACTGCCCTCATCTTGCCTACACTAATCTACATTGTCAACGGATAAACATACTGCCATCTTCTCACCTACACTAATCTACCTTGTCGACAGATGAACATACTGCCTTCATCTTGCCTACACTAATCTACCTTGTTGACAGATGAACATACTGCCATCTTCTCACCTACACTAATCTCCTACACTAATCTACCTTGCTGACAGATGAACATACTGCCCTCATCTTGCCTACACTAATCTACCTTGTCCACGGATGAACATACTGCCCTTATCTTGCCTACACCAAACTACCTTGTCTACGGATGAACATACTGCCCTCATCTTGCCTACACCAAACTACCTTGTCGACAGATAAACATACTGCCCTCATCTTGCCTACACCAAACTACCTTGTCGACAGATAAACATACTGCCCTCATCTTGCCTACACCAAACTACCTTGTCGACAGATAAACATACTGCCCTCATCTTGCCTACACCAAACTCTCTTGTCGACAGATAAACATACTGCCCTCATCTTGCCTACACCAAACTACCTTGACAGATAAACATACTGCCCTCATCTTGCCTACACCAAACTACCTTGTCGACAGATAAACATACTGCCCTCATCTTGCCTACACCAAACTACCTTGACAGATAAACATACTGCCCTCATCTTGCCTACACCAAACTACCTTGACAGATAAACATACTGCCCTCATCTTGCCTACACCAAACTACCTTGACAGATAAACATACTGCCCTCATCTTGCCTACACCAAACTACCTTGTTGACAGATAAACATACTGCCCTCATCTTGCCTACACTAAACTACCTCGTCCACGGATGAACATACTGCCCTCATCTTGCCTACACCAAACTACCTTGTCCACGGATGAACATACTGCCCTCATCTTGCCTACACCAAACTACCTTGTCCACGGATGAACATACTGCCCTCATCTTGCCTACACCAAACGTCCTTGTCCACGGATGAACATACTGCCCTCATCTTGCCTACACCAAACTACCTTGTCGACAGATAAACATACTGCCTTCATCTTGCCTACACCAAACTACCTTGACAGATAAACATACTGCCCTCATCTTGCCTACACTAAACTACCTTGTCTACGGATGAACATACTGCCTTCATCTTGCCTACACCAAACTACCTTGTCCAGGGATAAACAAACTGCCCTCTTCTTGCCTTCACCAAACTACCTTGTCCACGGATGAACATACCTCTCTCATCTTGCCTATACTTGACTACCTTGTTGACAGTAAACATACTGCCCTCATCTTGCCCACACTAAACTACCTTGTCCACGGATGAACAAACACAGAGACTCACCTCTCATCCTTGGCTTGAGAAACGATACGAGATTTCTCTAGTAGATATTTCTCAACCACGGCTCTGTGAACAGAAATTAACAAAGTTTCACTCAGAATGTAACAGAGGTAAATACATTTATTTGTACCTGTCTGTATCATGCAGGAGACCAAAGGAATGATGCAGTGGATTTTTTGGTAACAAAAGCGATAGCTACTGGAACATTCTTATTTGACAAGGGAGGCATACAGGAAACCATTTATGTACATTTGGAATAAAGTGTAGATCCAGCAAGAAAGGGCGAATGCGAGGAGCTGTATGAAGTGTATGACTTGTATACAAACAACGTGCTACA